TTAAAATGCAAATTCAACTTGTACCTGATCCGATTCAAAGGGGATTTAATTATGGGCGCATTGGTACGTTGCTCGGATCCCGCACCCGCATAGGACTCTGGATATAAAATCCAGAGAACAGGTTTAGGAAACATTCTATTTGCTAAATATTCTGAATATAAAAAAAAATACCAAGCGACATGTTTTTTTTATATTCAGAATATATATCTTTTACAGCAATTCATGACGCCTACCAATAATGCTGGATAATTCCCGCTTGGTGGTTATTTTGATTGTTCTCCTTATTTTCGTATCGACTGTGAAGACGTAAAACGCGTTGTTTATGGCTTTAATTGCATAAATTATTCTTTCGATTTGTTTGTAAGTAACTGTCCTGGTAAGAGAAATGGTGAGAGTTACCACGCTTCGGGTTTCAATGTGTGGCTTTTTCAAAAGCAGCTCAGACGGAGATATATAATTTCCATCGATAACCCTGTGGGATAAGCAATATATTGAATTTAACCACCGAAATATAAAAAAGAATCTGTAGCTACGAAGATGTGACAATCGCCGACAGTGTCAACATTCGTGTGAGATTCAAAAACAATGCAGGCATAGCGGTAAGTGGTTACAGGGTCATATATGAACTAAGCGGTGATTCCATTTTAAAAAAAAAAATGCCCATGTTAACCCGAGCAGATCGCCTCAGCTGTCTTATGACACTGCGTTGAATCAATTCCAACTGTAGCAGGCAGCCTAGTGAACTGGAAGGGGTTTTGCCCCTCCGTACTAGAAATTCTCAATCTGTAGGAACCATACGAACTCCGAGTTCGACAAGAGTAAATTTCCGGTGCATCGCTGACTTTCGCTTTACCCGTCAGAGCATCGTCAGAACTTGATCCAGTAGGAGCAATTGCTAAAACGTATGAACCTTTCTTCAAGAGTGTAGTCTTGTGAGGGTCACGAAAGCTGACAGATCCGCCAGCTGTAAAATCATTTGCATTGCTGTCGTCGACAAAGAAAACAGAATTCGAGCTGTCCTTGGGAAAGAGATACATGACCGAATCCAAGTACGAGGCTCGACAGTCTCCATTCAAGTCCACAAAAGATTCATTATCAGCAATTTCGACGGATATCACAGCGAAGGAGACGGCGGAATCTTTCGTCAGAGTAAACTCCACTTTATCAATTGTAACGAAGCCTGAAGCGAGAATAATAACACCATCAAGCGTCAGACGCGAGGTTAAAGCTAACGTGGCTTCGTGGACTGGCGGGGTATACGCTGGGATCCGCTCGGTGTTCTCGATACTATTCGATCCGTCGTCGATACCGTCAAATTCTGCCAAATTAATACCCTTTGCATCCAAATCGGCCACGATATCCTTGGCCGGAATACCAGTGTTAGCGCACATTTCGCCGCAATGGTGAAGCGCAACAACACCGTGGTCCGAAAATGAAATAACGGGGGACCCTGATGAGCCAGTTTGAGTGTCGCCACTGTACGAATACCCCTCTGTACCACAAGTACTGGCACTCAAGCTCAGTAAAGCCGCATTGCTGGCATAGTCGTCTTCGACAGCAATTCTTTTGTTCTTGCCCATCGGATGCTGAGGAATGTACAGCTGTTCGCCCACCACACCAGCTCGAGTCTTCAATCGAAGATAACCATAGCTCTGAGCCGCTTCAACTCCGCTTGCTGGTAGCTTCAGCAACGCATAGTCGAGTTCTTCACTTGCATGTACCAGTTCAGTCGATATAGCAACCACACCACCTTCACATTCCCCCAATGCACACGAAAAACTATCGCTGCAAGATTTATCCTCCGCCATGAACTCCACTCTAGTACCACTAGCTTCTTCGTCCGTAGAAACACAGTGATAATTGGTCATGATGTGGCCCTGGTTTCCAAGTAACCATCCTGTACAGCTGGCCCATTCTCCGGAACCTTTCGGGATCTTGAGTCGAGCTACGGAACGCGAAGCCAAATACGCGGTTCGTGTGGTCACATCGTCAAAGTAGCAAATGGCGTTCTTTGTATTATGTATTATCTGCAGCACAGATCGACGCACCGGTAGCGACAATCGGTTCTTTAGAGTTCATGAGAACGTAATCGTACGAGTCGACCACAAAGCCGAAGCATTTCGAGTCACTGTCGGCTACACTGAAGGCATTTCCGATAAAATCCGTCTCGTCGACAGTATCTGGACTGGTTTCATCACGGTAAAACTCGATCCGAAACTCTTTTGTGAGAACTGGAGGGGCTACCACATTACCATAGTTTCGACCACTGGGATAGTTTCTTGACAAGTTTAACATCCGATCTGGCGTGTCGAAACCTTCAACTGCACGGAGAATAACAGAGACACCACTTGGCATCCAGAGCTTGCTAAAGCGAAGCCCCACGTGGGCATATCCACTGCCTTTTGTTAAAGTGAATGACCGGAACGGCGTAGAACTTCCTGGTGTCGCGCTGTCATAAGCGAGCTGGAATTCTGGACATCCCATGCCGATATTAACGGATCGCGAGGTGGATTCACTGGTTGGAGGTGCTGCGTCTATCGCTCCGTTTGTACTGATAGTAGGATCATCCGTCTCCATGGGGGTGAAGGCTGCGCTGTGTACGTTCGAGTTAAAGCTCGTTGGGTTCGTTGCATAAGCCGCCAGAACCATGAGCAGAAGGAGTCCCGAAAGACTGAGCATCGTATTTCGATGCTGTCTATCGTCACTTGGGGTTTCGACATTCAGCCGATGCGGCGTTGCTACATTCAGGTCGTCCATGTTTCAGATGTTGCTGGTGTTGGATCGATGAATCGATGAGACTGAATGACTTTTTCAGGATGTTCATGGTCAAAGACAGCGACTAAGGCCTTAAAGCTTTTTCTGGATTGAGCTCGCCGCTATGAATAGGAAGGCGAGAAAAGATCGAGGACGTTTGAAAAGGTATGAATATTTTGGGGGTATAACCAGTCTGCGTGTCATATTTAACACTGTTACCGATGGTATTCATAGCGCAAGCATTGAATGTGGCGAACTATATGCACTCACCGTAGTGAAGATTTCTACACGTGATCGATGAAGCTGTGGTTGAACTAGTCGAATTGGCAGTCGAATCAAGCAACTCGAAAAAAATTCGCCGTACAATTTTAACGATTGTCTGTGACCCCGGTGCGTACCTAGCAAAAATTTTCGAGTGCTGGCCCTCGAGTATTTTGCGTTGAAAAGAGGGAAGCTCCACCCAAGTCCCACCTCAGACGTTGGACACCACCTGGCGAGCGTGCATCATGCCAACTACATTTTCATGCTGGACAAGCAGCAACGACAGCTGTGTTAAACTTGCACAGGCAACACGAATAAAATCCAGTCTGCCATAGCAACAAAATAGCTCGACAATTCTTTTCTTCCTTACGGCGACGATAGCTCAACACGGGATTGAACTGCCATATTGGAGCGATACGAACACTAAACATCAGCACGCGAATCTTGAAGCGATACTGTCGTTTACCACAACGGTGCTCTCTATCCACACATGGAGAGATCGTCTGAGTGTTCTGCCACGATGTCGTGTTTACAATCGACTAATCTATGGTAAAAAGTAAGCAAGGCTGCGGTGCCGAGGCGTCAACAGGGCCGGCTGGCTCAAATTGAGCTGATCGACCGACAATTTTGTCAGTTTGTCGGCGTCAAACAGAGAGTTGGCAATCCCCATCCAGGGAAAACTCAGCAGCGTCTTTCTCCATGTCGCCACACGCTCAATACCACCTGCTCCATGTCGGTCTCCAATAAATATACACAGGATCAAGAACGACAGACTTGGCGGATCAGCGCCACCAATACAGGCCAAAGACCTCCATTCTTCCATGTTTCGCATCAAATTCGTGTTATTGAAGACAACAGGGCAACAAATTAAGAGAGAATTCATGTGGACTCATCAACGCGGTTGAGTATTTCCTACCTCCTTCCGACGGTGATGGTTTTGTGCCCTTGTGGCCCGGCCACATGCTTGCAGCAAGCAGACTCCGATCCACGTTGGTAATCTTCGAGTCTGTACGCTCTTCGACCAACGGACAGGACCGGTGTGCATCGGATTGGCGAGATCGTGGCGTGGGCTTCGCCTTCCATGTCCAGTCCACTTTGTTTTTTTGCTGTCAGAACCACAATGGCGAAAGATCGATTCGTACAGAACCTCTTTCCGGACTTAGAGCTGTCGGTGGCCGATAAAGCGGAGCTCCAAGCGCTCGTATCGACTTTCATCGAGGAGCACCTCCCGAACTACAAAGAATACTGCGCCAACAAGAGCCGACAGGTGGACGCCAACCGCTGGAAACTCTTCAAGACCAAGGACAATGTACGTCTGCACTCCGAACGGGACAGTAAGGACAAACACTCTACAAAGGGTGAGGAACACGACGTGTCCAACCTGCCGGTTATTCTGTGCGAGGGGGCCATCCCAGGCAAGCTCGAGGACGTCATGTTCGGAGTCATCAGTCCCACGCTGGAGCTGATGCGTCTCAAGGCGTCATACATCGACGACATCAGCAGTGCTTCGGTATTGTCCACAATCGTCAAACCTACGCCGGAAGACCCTCTGCAGTCGCTCGTACTCAAGTGGATGCAACTGGATCTACCGCTACGCTCGACGAGTTTGGTCAAGAATCGTGACTTCGTGTACATGGAGGCCACGGGGATTTTACGGACGAAGGACGGCGAACGGATAGGCTATCACATCCAGCACTCCATCGGCTTGCCTCAAGCGCCTGAACTGCCGAATCTTGTGCGTGGCAACTGCCATTTATGTGCGTTCTTCCGTCAGGACCGCGATCTATCGGTTGAAATTTACGCGACCGGGGCGTGCGATCCGGGAGGTCCCGTACTCAAGTCGCTGCTCTTGCACCCGATCGCCTCGATGCTACTGTCCTGTACGGATTACGCTCACTGTGGCGAGATGAAGAAGCTGGCGTGGATCATGCAGCACCGTAACGCGCAGAAGAAGCAAATGGGCACCAAACGCAACGACGACAAGTGCGTGAGCTGCTCGTCGTCCGTCAGCCACAGTCGCATCGGCAAGCTCAGTACCACTCGCGGATCGTGCAAACTGTGCTTCAACGCTGTTTGTCGCTCTTGTCGTGTGCGTAAACTCCTCACCTTTATGGAGCCGGATCTCAAGTACGAGAAGCGCAAGGTGACGTTCTGCCCTGTTTGTATCAAGGACGCGTTGGAAGTCAGTGCCCTGCAGGTTGCCAGGGATCAGACCTTGGCTCCCAAGAGACTTGGAGGCTACCGGTCCAACAGCGAGTTCTCGGCCACGTCTTCCTCGGATGAATGAGGAGAGCTCCACTGCCAGAGCTTTTGGTTAGTTTAGTTAGTTAATTGCGCACGAAATGGATTATTGTTACTATGACGTGAAGTGAGCGTGTGTTCTTATACATGTACTAGTATTCATAGCAGGCGCATTGGGACCCCAGTCAAACACTATAGCATAAGCATCACCAGAGGTATGAAATTCTATGATCGTTTTTCAAGGTTTGAATTTCAAACGGCTTTCACCGCCAGCACAAGATTGTACGGCCACCCTAGCGTCCTTCTTCACCTACGCGATCGGCCTCGTACTTGTGATAACCAATATGCCAGCCACGAAAGTATTCGACACAGAATACGTTGCAAAATTAAAAATGCAGTCCTCAATGTTGATTTACGTGTGATTCCTTACTGATACTTAAGTAAGAAATCTTTAGTCATAGGTTTTGACTCATAGCGAATAACTATCCGACGGTCGAGTACCACATCCCACCGAGACTGAGATGGATACGTGAGACCTAGTCGGCATTGCCGCGATTATAAGGAGTACAGTACTGTATAAATATTGGCTGAGTATGCAACGGAGAGAGCAACCGGAATCTGATTGGTGAAACTTTAGATTCCTGAATTTTATTGGCAGAAATTACAAACGCAGCGAGGGATGACCACCTTGGTGCTTGTCAGTGCGGAGTGCAGTAAGAATTCGAGTCACGGATAGCTGCCGGCCGTAAGCAGCGTAGATTTTATCAATGGCGACGTCGCTGGTGAAGCCTGTGCGAACAAATGCACTGACGACGTCCCAGAATACCTTGCGGCGAGTATACGCGAATTTGTTGGCGCCACGCTCAGCTGCTGTGAACTCTTTTGCCGGTTTCAATCCGTTCAATCCGAACTCATACTCTCCCCATAGTTCGTAGAGATCCTTCGGTCGTTTTGAGAGCATTGCACGCGGAAGTACGACGGAACCTTCTTCTTCTACTCCGTCTCCACCTCCATTTGCTGAGAGTGAGGGTGTATCGTGCGAACTACAGGTTGCAGGGCTATACGTCGAATCACTGCCAGAATCTTTTGATTTTCCCGCTGTCTCTCTGTGCGAGAGCGATGAATTTCGTTCAGCAAATTTGCCGTTTGTCGCTGTAAACTGAATAATTGAGAGTGAATCGAAGCGAATTCCTTGCGAGTGCTGTCAGCAGTCAAGCCGCCATTTTGGCGATCCAAAACGCCATTTTCACCAGCATTATCATGTACTTCGACGAGTTGAAGCTGAGCACCATCACCAACAACGTGAATGGGTACACGTTCCACAACATTGACGTCTTCTTTCCCACCAACACCCAAATAGGCTTGAATAATGCGCCGCTTAAGAGCAGCTGGAATGATTTCATAGTCAAAACTTCCACGCGGCACTAATGCTGCCCAAAGGAGCGGCAACGCGAGCACCCGAGCCAGCTCTTCACCTAGGGCCTCCTTAAGCGCAGGACCTACATGTTTGACTAGCAGGTCATTTGTTACCTTTTCTCATGCTGTGTGTACCCAAATTGCCTGCTTTGAGTTTGTGAAAGTCGGTTCCTTCAAAAACGTCTTGCAGAAAACGACGGACGACGCGATCTCCGTCTTGTGGATTACCAAATACAAACGGTGAAAGTGCTGCTTTATCCGTCATCTCCACATGTATTGCCAAGTTGAGCAGCGCGCAAAGCCGAGGATCCATGCTGCCTAACACAATTTGTTCCGGTGCGTCCCGCTCCTCTGAGATATTTTTCGACCAACGCAATTGACAAATCAATGAACCTGGGTGGTGAATGCTGCACGAAAAGCTATCGAACTTCAGTTTCATCATGTCGTCAATGCGTGCAATGAGGTGCCATTGCATGGTGAGCACAGCACAGACTAAATACTTCAGTGAACCCTTGCCGTTTCCCGTGTGAACTTGATCCAGTAGATTAAGAAATTCACCATACTCGATCGGACGCCTAGCTGCCGATTGGACTCCTTCTCGTCGTACCTCGCATCGCTTCACCTTCTTAATTACTGCATTTACAGTCTCTGAGCGAGTTGGATTCCCTTCGTTGCGAATAGGGTCCCAAGGAACTGTGCGGCGTGGCATGAAAGAGGAAATCGCTTTCTTGGCGTATTCCAAGGTGGACGCACGGGCGTTCACCGGTTTTGCGTCCTCCGCAGGATTGGCGTCTCCAAACGCGCGAAAATTCATCCAGTGACACACGTCGTCGGGTGTGATCTCCAACAGGGTGTCTTGACTGAAGCTAATGTCCGTACTGAAGGTATGACCAGCTCGAAACGCCATGAACTCATTGAGAATTGACTTGTATCTGTTGCCTCGCATTACCCTTGTGTTTCGAGCCGTGTCTTTGGTTATGAGAGGATCTTATGCAACCCGAGGGAACGTGCACATGTTTTTTGTATGGTAGTCAGGTTGCAAAGGTCGGTGAAAAGGCAAACTCTGTGTGCAACTGATTTTTCATTTCATACTGATACATTCTGCAGTGTATTATCCTTAAATTGGTCGGTACGGCGAACAAATCGACTGAGAAGCCAATTAGATTGTCGTGAACGCGACAAATACAACTTCGGTTGCATTTGGCCAGTTATGTAAAAGTATTGAAAGTAAACCATAGCACTTGGGTTCCAATGGTTAGGCAGCATCTTGCACTGGAAGTCAACGGAGAACTGGGAACAGAATTCAGATTGAAGCACAAGAACACTTGATTATCTGCATTGGTATTCACAACAACTGTATTGTGCAAGTGACCACTGAGTTGGACAACCGATTCCGAGCGATTCAAGGCCTCGTACGTAGACGACGTGTTCGCCAGTGCCACATTGGAGAGGCCATTGCTCGTTCCACCCACACACACTCAAGTGGCTTGATTACTCGGGTCGACCCTAATTTCCTGATTAGGGAAGGTCGCTCTTGGTGAGTGAGCTGGTAGTCATAGTGATGCAACCTCTGATGGATACCCACTTGCACGTGCAAACTTGATCATTGCACGAGCAATTGGGTATCCGCCACAGGTTACAAGTGCTGTCGAGTATGTGCGTTCTAAGCTTACCGACCGTTGTGTGAATACCAACGAATCCTGTAGCCACGCCGTCGCCGTCAGGTATGGTTATGGTACGGCGCGTCTGCATTGCAGACGGTCTTCACTGCTGTAACAGCAGTGCTGTTCGCACGGGAAGCCGCGAGTCGATCACGCTCCACTTCAAGAACAAGTAGAAGCAGCAGTTCAACTTCTACTGAGGCATTTGCGCAAACCTCTGCTTCAATTGCGGTGGGGGAACGTCCTTGCTCAGAAGCGACACGTGTGCACTTTGTATGCGTCCGGCATGCGCGTCGTGCGAGCTCAAGAAACACTGTGCTTCATTTCGTGGCTGCTACGTTAGACCAAGCACAGGATGAGGTTCTTCGGCGTCTCGACGCTCATGTTTTCGCTTGTGAGGAAGTCGGAGCGGATGCTAATTTCGAATCATTGGCACCGTCTGACTGTGCACCTCGACAGGCACTGCTGTTCATGTAGTGTTCCATCCGAACTGCATTTAAGTCATAAAGCGTAGCCAACTCACGCCAGCTACTTTTCGCCATATAAAACTGTAGCAAGATTTGGAGACCCAGAAAGTGATCTGTAAAACCGGGGGTTGTCAACCACTAAGAGGCGATTTGCAAATATGTACAGTAATGCACCCGTTTTCGCGGGGATGGACCATATAGGATTTGCAAACACATCAGGTTTCAGCATTTAAACCCGAGGATATTTGGCAAAAAAAGAAAATTATATACGGAAGTTTATCAAAAGTCTCAGGGCGTGAAAACGGGGTGAAGTACTGTATCCACCCGGGACGCACCGAACTGCTCGATCCGAACAAACCAGCGCACGCATGCCATCGGCAGAGCAGTGGCGTTGAAGCCCAGTTGCTTTCGGGTAAGGATCTTATCATCTGAACCACCTGGGCTGACTCGGGATCTGCTGCTCAAACGATGATGCCTTCACTTGCCCATGTGGTACCAATCTCGCTGGAAAAAGGTGTCACGCCCGCCCGCATGGAGAGAAGGGAGAGGTAACTCGCCTGCTAGCTCCACTTGCTTCACTCCAGCTTTGAACACAGACTTCTCGGATCGACCAGTTTTTAGTGGTTTGACAAACGTCGATGGCCAATGCTGCGAGTCCGTTCGCCCCCCTCAATCTGGCCCACCACGACGCCAACTACCTGAGGGAACTCGTCCACGTCTTCGTACAACAGCAAGTCCAGAATTATGAGCGGTACCTGCATGACGACCACGAACGTCTCGACAATAAACGGTGGAAACAGGTTCTTCATCGTGACAATATGCGGGTATTCTCGGAACTCGAAAGCGCGGACCCCGCCAACGACCTGGGGTACGTCAACCAGCAGCAATCAGCCGAGCTGGCGGACCTGCCTGCTCTGCTGACCGTAGGACAACTGGAAGGCTCATTAGACGACGCCATGTACGGTGTAATGACCCCTACAGTGGCATCCATGCGCATTAAGTATTTCTACACTGGAGACCAACTCGCTAACGGTGCCGTACTAGCAACAATCGACAGTCCGTCGCCCGTGGACCCGTTCCAGTCGCTCACTGTCAAGTGGGTCGAAGGCTACCAGTCCCCAATGCTGCGTCCTCTTGTAAGTAGCCGCGACTTTGTCTACATGGAGGCTACGGGCTTCACCAAGCTGAGTGACGGAGAGTTGGTAGGGTACCACCTTCTCCACTCAGTGCACTTCCCACAAACACCCAAGACGCGGAATAATACGCGTGGTACGATGTCCATCTGCGGGTTGTACAGACAACGGAACCACAGCGCCGTGGACTTATACTGCCGCGCGTCCGTGAACTCAGGAGGACGGATAGCTCGCTCTATTGGCGTAAAATACGCGGCAGTGTCACTCATCTCAGCGAGGAAAATGATCCGCTGCGCTCATCTCAAGAAGCTGACGTGGTTATTGAGAGTACGCGATACTAACACTATCATCCGTGGAGAAGCCAAATGCATCGGCTGTGGCCAAAAACCTGGGATTTTCGCCACGGAGATCGGCTCATGCTCGCTTTGTAAGCGTGCACTTTGCTCATCATGCAGATTGAAAGTTGAGCTGGGCTTTGCTTCTTCGAACGGTAGTTTTTTCAAGAAGAAAATGTGGTTCTGCTCCTACTGCGTTGATGAAGCAGCTCGAACGAGCTCTCGAACCGTTGCGTGTGGAGATTATGCGGACTCGAGGATTGTGGAGAGAACGCCATGGAGCAGTGGACCGACGAATTCGAGCTCGCCCTCTGGCTCGGAGCGTAGTGATGATTGGGGATCGCTAGACAAACGCTACCTCAATCTCATGCCTAGATAGTTATGAACTAATTTACTTTTAACGAATGAATATCAAGTTAAGCGCTGATTCGATGTGGAAACCACCGTGCATGCATAGCTTAACTGGGGTAAGCGCATTCTTTACCACTCGTTCGAACAGCATGGCAGGATCTACGTGCATTATGTACGTGCACGTAGACCTCCCCCATAGCACATGTATGTTGGGATATCCCTGTTGTCAAGTTTGACTTACATATTACTTTTTTCTACGTCCTTATAAAAAAAAATAGCGGGCTTTGGGAATTTTTAATAATAGCTGGAGCAGATCGTATCGGCTGGCTTGTTGCACGATGCTGGGTTGATGCCTACCGTCGCTGGCAAGCTCGTGAACGTGAAGGGGTTATCACCTATCGTGCTAGAGATCTGCAACTTGTAGGATCCGTACGAGCCGCGCGTGCGGCACGTGTAGAGTTCTGGCGGGTAGTCGGCCTTTGTTTTCCCGGCGCGGGCGTCTTCCTCACTTGCACCGGTTGGTGCGATCGCAAGCGTGTAGGATCCCTGCTTGAGGAATGTGCGTTGGTACGGGTCGCGGTAGCTGACGGATCCGTCTGCGTTGGCTGTGTCAATTGGACTGTCGTCAACGGTGAAAACTGCTTCCGACTCTCCGTCTGCGAAGAGATAAATCATCGCGTCCAAGTATGAAGCACGGCAGTCGCCATTTAGATCATAGAAGGTGTCGTTGTCTGCGATCTCGACTGAAAGCACGTCGAACGAGATGTCCGCGTCGCTGTTGAGCGTGAATTTCACGGAATCGATGCTAACGTAGCTGGACGCGAGAATGATAGCGCCGTTCATCGTCAGACGTGGCGTCAGAGGCTGCACTACCTCAGGAGCCGGCGGAACGTACACCGGGAAGCGTTCAGCATTGGCCACAGCGTTAGATCCGTCGTCGACGCCGTCAAACTCCGCTGCATCAATGCCATTTAGGATTAAATCGGCAATGATTCGCTTGGCCGGGACTCCAGTGTTGGCACACATCTCGCCGCAGTGGTGCAGTGCAATGACGCCGTGGTCTGCGAAGGAGATCACCGGCGAACCAGACGACCCGCTCTGTGTGTCACCGCTGTACGAATAGCCTGAACCACCGCAGGAGCTGGCACTTAGACTTAGCAACGCCACATTATTGGCGTAGTCGTCGACCACTGCCATCCGTTTGCCTTTGAACAGTGGATGTTGCGGAATGTACACTTGCTCCCCGACGACACCTTCACGGGTCTTTAGTCTCAAATACCCGTACTTTTGAGCGAGATCGGGTCCATCATTTGGTAGTTTAAGTAGTGCGTAGTCCAGCTCTTCATCGGCGTGAATTAGCTCCACACTCATGGAGACAACGTCACCTGGACAGGCTCCCCATGAGGCACACGACACACTGTCGCTGCAGACGTCGGCTTCTGCCATGAACTCGACGGTTGTGCTACCCGCTTCCTCGTCTGTGGACACACAGTGGTGGTTCGTCATGAGGTGTCCCTGGTTACCAAGCAGCCAAGCAGTACAACCGGCAGACGCGCCACCGCCTTTCGGAATGAGCAACCGAGCCACCGATCGAGCAGCCAAGAACGCTGTTCGGGTGGTACTATCATCGTAGTAGCAAATGGCTTCTTTGGTGTTGTCCGCAGCGCAGATCGACTCGTCCGTGACCGAGATCGGATTGTCATTGTCCATAAGCACGTAGTGGTACGCGTCCACGACGAAGCCGTAGCACGCCGCGCCTCTGGCGTCGGCTTTCGTAGTGTTGGCACTACCTGCGTTGCGGTAGAATTCAAGACGGAATTCTTTCGCGAGAAGAGGTTGAGCCAGGACGTTGCCATACACCTGTCCACTGGGGTAGTTGATCGAGAGGTTGTGCGTACGGTCCGGAGCGTCGAAGCCTTCCACTGCCCGAACAACCACCGAGGCACCATGAGGCATCCAAAGCTTGCTGAGGTGGAGTGCCACGTAGGCATAGCCAGTGCCTTTGGTCAACGTGAATGACCGGAACGGCGTAGAGCTTCCAGGTGTAGCCGCGTCGAATGCGGTCTCAAATTCCGGACAACCCATACCGATATCCACGGAATGTAGCCTCGATTCCGTCGAATTATCAGCATAACCCGATGCCGCGGTGTTGGTATCGTCGATCGACATCGGAGTGAAGTCTGCGTTTCGTAGATTGCTATCGTTCGCGCTTGGGCTGGCAGCATACACCGCTATCAACAGTAGTACAACCAAACCGGTGAGACCCATGGCACGATAGCGTCGCTCTTTTCCATCACTTGAAGACTCGGCGTCCAGCCGATGGTGCGTCGTCGTGATCTTCATTTTACGCATTCCTCAAGCTTATCTAGCAAAGACTCCGATACTTGATCACGACGCTGAAAGTTGACTAGTGGGAGTTGAGGGAGGCGTTCTTGACCAGCATCAAACGCTGTCAAACAATGGCCACAAGTCTATGAATAGGAGGACAAGATGCACGTGAGGACATGTGCCGCTTATACTATTTTCGCCTTCATGTTGCACTCTCAAATTGGAACTAAATTTCTCATGAAGTATCGAGAACTTTTCTGTACGGAGCCAAGCCTGGATGAGCGCTCTCAGTTCCGTTGTAACACGATTTCTTATCTTTGAACACATTCGATCTATTTTCTTTTTTTCGTGTTGAGAGAGTCTTTAGGATGTATTGATGAGGTTTGTACTCTCGTAAAAAAAAAAATAGATACTACCTTGGCTTCTCACATTGCCATGCTATCACGTCGTCGGCTTCGTGCACTTAAACTCTGATAAAATTCTGAAAACTCCTCTCTACAAGCCAATTCCTCACTAGCAATGAGCATCGTATCGGCTGCTCGGGATCGATCCACACATCGCCCACAAAAGCGCAGATCTCGACGTAGCAGTTCACCTTGAGGTCTCATGAAGGTCAGTTTGTACTTGACTCGGCAAGACGAACATACAAACTTGTAGCACAGTTTGCATCGGTCTCGATCCGAACGTTTGTCGTACGTATTGACCAAACTGCCAGACGGCGTTCTGTGAACCGACCGCTTTTGACACGACGTGCACTTCTCCATCGCACCCGCAGACGCAAGAGCCTCAGGGACTGGAAGAGGAACACTGGGTCGAGTCGTAGCAGAGCTCGACGTTGTGCTGGTGTCATTGGACTGCGCTGTAGGAGAGTGGATCCTATTGGCCTCCACCACCGCCGCTACAGCGCTCTGCATGGCCCTCTGCCGTCGATTCTCCCGCGACGTCTTGGCCAGCCACGCCAGCTTCTTCTTCTGTGCACATTCCGCGATCTCCGTGACCGAAATGATCGCGTCTGCCACCGATCTCACCACAAGCGAGCGGATAATACTCCCACAGGGATTGAGAATCGCCCTTACGTACACATCCACGAGTCCTTCCCGTTCCTGTCGGTACAGCGCCGCCACAGATAAATTCGCGCGTACACGGCCTTCCAGCTCGGGTGTCTGCGGGAAATTCACGGAATGCAGCAAGTGGTACCCGACGCGTTCGCCCGTGTCCAGTTCCGCGAGCCCCGTTACCTCTAAATACACGAAATCCCGGTTCTTCACCACAGGTTTCAAGACATGTAACTGTTCGTTTTCCATCCACTTGACTGTCAACGAATGGAACGGGTCGCTAGGAGAGGGCTCCACTATGGTTGCCAGCACTGCTCCGTCCGCCATATTGTCCCCTACGTACGATGACTTTATCCTCATGGCATCTAACGTCGAATTCACCGCCCCGTACATGGCGTCATCTAGTGTACCAGCAATGGTTCCGACCGCCAGAAGAAGCGGGAGATCCGCCAATGACGCGGCTGCAGCGGCCGTCACCTTCTCCCCCGCTGTGGTGCGTTGCAACTGATGACGGTACTCCCTCTCCAGCTCGTCTTGTGTGGCTCCACCAGCTTTACGACGCTCTTTGAGCGGTTGCTCAACGTACACGTGCACGCCGCCGCGTTGCTTGGTTAATTTCCAACGACGCTCGTCAAGCCGGCGCTGGTCCTCGTACAGATATTTTTCGTAACTGCGCATACTATCCTGTACGAAAACTCTTGCGATTTCGCCCAACTTGGCTGCATTCTCCACTGAGAGCTGCAGCGGCTCGAACGGGCTGGGACCCCACGTTGGCATGGTATCTTAGTCCGAAAGTTGTCAACTGAATGGTCCAAAGTTCAAATTTGAACGCTTGACAAGTTGTAACTGTCAAAACGGTTAGAATAATGGTCCAAGGTGACAGGTTGCTTGGTTCCTCTTGTACTTGGGGCTGATGGTGGCGGAATGGGAGTCGGAAGACGCTATGAGGGACTGCAGCACGTTGGTAACGCCGACCAGTGTCGATCGTCTTCTATCATGGCTTTAAGATTTTAGAAAAAAATGATTCGTCAAAAAAAAAAAAGTATTTTGTCCACTTAAATTAGAATCAAATATATGATTGGATGAAATACGTTGAAGTTGAAGGCAACTTTATATTTTACAAGTACTTACCACATGACAGTTTAACAGGATGAGAATTTGTTATTTGAGTAGACCTTACACGGTGCGCTCCGAGTCAGAGGAGGACGCAAAGGAGTAATCCGTACCCGAATGGAAGGCGTACTGCGAATTATTGCCAGCAATCTGCGCGCGGGCGGCGTCTGCTGTGTTAATTTCAAAAGCCTCTTTGATGCACGAGGGGCAGAACGATGTCTTGCGCTCCTCGAACGTCATCTCGAGCGTCACGAAGTTCAGGCGCTTCTTGACACGGCACGTGCCGCATACGAGGCGATGGCAGAGCTTACACGAGTCGCGAGAGCGGCCGAACTTGCCGAAGATCTTGGAGCTGATGGGGATACCGCAGTTCACGCACTCACCCTCGCTGATGGGAGCACCACGCTGCTTGTCCAGCGCATAACGGCGGTGCATGAGCCACGTGAGCTTCTTCATTTCACCGCAGTGGGCGAACTTCAAGGCCGTGAAGAACTTCATAGCCGACGCCGTGACCAGGAACGACTCGACGCTGGACCCGTTCGCGACGACACCGGACGCGTACATCTCGACGCACTGGTCGTGCTCCTGACGGTAGAGGAAGAAGACGTTGACGCTGGCGCGCACGCGGTTCGGCAGCTCTGGCGTCTGAGGGAAGCCGATCGAGTACATCAAACGGTATCCGACGCGTTCGCCGTTGCCCAGTTGCGTGAAACCCGTGGCTTCCATGAACACAAAGTCACGCTTGTTCGAGTGTAGCAACAGGTCCAGTTCCTGCCATTTCAGTGCGAGCGTCGATAATGGATCCTCAATCGTAGGCTCCACTACGGTAGCCAGCACCGCCGCGCCCGTAAGGTCGTCCACGTACGTGGCGTTGAAGCACATGTCCTCCGACGTCGTGCTCACCGTGCCGAACACGACGTCGTCCAGGGTGCCCTGCATCGTGCCGATACAGAGCGACACGGGCGTGCCAGCCTGTTCCGACGCCTCGTTCATCATGGAGTGGTTCCCGTCCGTCGTCGTGCGCACCTCGCGCTCCAGATACAGTCGCAGGTTTTCCCTCGTCTTAAGTGGCTTCCAGCGACGCTCGTCCACGTTGTGGCCACCTTCCTTGAGGTGAATCTCGTACGAGTGTAGGCATTCCGCGAGGAAACCGTTGGCAGTCTTTTGCATCTGCATCTTGTCGCCCGCCGAGAGCTCCATCGACGGGAACGGGTTCATCACGTAGCGCTTCTTACCTCCCATAGTCAATTGATTTGCAGCTACGACGTGTGCTGCTCTTCTCACTGCGAGTGCAGATTTTTAAATGGTTGGGGCGTTCCTGCCTCTCTTGTCCGGTTCGACAACTTAGGTCGCATCAAGACGACTGGGAGTCTCATCCCAGGGCGCAGGCGAGTGCAGCGAGTGCATAGCACGCTCCGGCGACACTGGGAGGAAGACAGAAAGGGACAGGCGATGGTGGAAGGTGCGGCGTTGTGGCGTCGGTGGCAACGATGATGTCCATTGCTGTGCACCGGGTGGGTGCGCAGCAAAGGCATCATCGTCACCAGCGATTCCTTTCGATTGACTGACGGGCAAGACGGGGTGGCCCCCCTTTCCAGGTGCCGGGCTGTAAGCAGCGGCAAGTGCCGTGCAGCGACTTGGAGGCAGTGCCGCCCCACAGTTACTGCAGTTCTTTCACCCCGCGTCGACAATAAGCTTTTGGCACACATGCACTGATGACTTGCAAAGAGAGGACAGACGGGCACCCAGCGCCGGCGCCAAGCACACGTACAGTGGATTGCTCGCTCGGGTACATGACTCGCGCTTTATTGCTATGCCGAACTGTGAAACGCTCGATCATGGCAGCGAGCATCGGTATTAGCGAGGACCGGCGTTGATGGATTCGGTGACGCGGAGACCTTTGTCATGCTTGCGAATGAGCCGGTGAGAGACTGCAAGGTGGGGCGCGTCTCGGACACGCTGGCGTACACGTCAAGAGACCCGGCAAGTGATCCGCAGGATTGGGAGACGACGACCACGCCTGACAAGGTGACAGGTTTACAGGTTTGGGCATCAGCACTTCACCAATGTTGATTTCTCCAGTCAATTTCGAGTCACTCCAGCTGGTGCTGCTTGCCAACACCGAAGCGTTGGAACTTGACCATAATGAGTGAATAAGTTCTACCGACCCATCTGGAGGCAGCCTGCACTCGCGCGATGCCCGCCGCCACCTTGTTCATGCAGGACGATCTTGCTCGGTACCCACCGAGGAATGACGACCCGGGCAATATTTTGAACTGCCGGTTTTACTGAATGATGTCGCGGTTGGAATCTCGGTGAAGATCCGACGTATGTGCTCCAAGCACACCTTGGCGAAAAAGGTGGCTTCGCTCGCGAGTGCGCACCGACGGCAAGCTTCTTTATGCCAAAAACATATTTGAACTCGTTCTGATTGAAGGTGCTCACGGTGTTCGCTATACTGACAGTCGGCGAAGCAACATGAAATAGAATGCGATACTATACCCCACAGCCCATTAAGCTTTGCGAAAACTGGATATTATTTTAGTGGTAAGTTTTACTTTTCAATGTACTGCACCATAGTAGTGTATCCGGCGATGATGTAGTTCGGTGAGGTGCACACGCTCTGTGAAGAAATCGTCGGCGCTTATAGATTGCCAAGACTGACGCCAGGGGCGGACGGACGATCAAAGGGAGAATACGACGATGAGTGCGCTGGTCATGGCTGGACAGCCTCGGCCCGAGCATTCACTTCCACAGCGGAAGTTCCGCTTCAATGATCGTGGAGACGGTGCGTGCATTGAGCACAAAAACTGATGGAACGCCTCTACTCACAAGTAAAGCTCCGAAATCGCCAGCTCCGCGATTTTTTTTTGGCACCGATGCCGGTGCAAGGGAATGAGAGCGCAAGCCAGTGAATTGAGTGAATTGACAGACAACTATTAAAGCAGGCTGTATTGTTGTTGCTTTAGCAGACCTGAAAATTTTCAAAGTAAGATAGACGTGGATGGCAAACGCTTGCTCCAAGGTTAAATTAAACCCAATCAAAATGCTCGATCAGCCTCGATCCGCCTTGAATGAGATCGCTAAGCGCACACCATGTTGGCAATAGGATATTGTCCGATAAGTTTGCATCCAGTTCATTACGAATGAATGTCCTTGAGTGCTTCCCTCCAATAGTCCAGATCCTGTCTGAACTTAGATGGCATTCAGACGAAAAAACCCATCAAAATTTTAATGGGTTTTTTCCGTCTAAGCACCATTCACGCAACATATCTGATTAAGTTGCAGCTAAAACTCCCGCGCTTTTTTGCCAATCCAAAACGACCAATGCAGGCAGCAGGCAACTCCAATGGCGGGGGAGGCGTGGGCGCCAAGCGCGGTCGTGGCGGCGCCCCCGCGCTTAATGCAAGCGCTGCACCAGTGGAATTGCTAGTAGACTCTACTGCTGAGGCCGTGAAGACGCGTTTCCTGCAGTTTTTATGCGGTTATGGGCAGCAGGACGACGCGGACGAGGTTATGGGCCCTGCCAAGATCAACTACAGCCAACAGGCCGAAGTGATGCGCAATACCGAGACCTCTTCACTGTTTGTGGACTTCTCGCACGTGCTGGAGTTCGATCCTGATCTAGCGCAGGCTCTGCAGGCTCAATATTACCGTTGGGAGCCATACTTAAGACGCAGTGTCTTCGAGTTCATCAGGCTCGAAGATGCGGCCTACACAGTCAACGAGGACGCCAACAAGACACAGCGCGAGTTCTTCGTCAACTTCTACAACTTCCAACACGTATCACAGTACGGGATCTATAACAATTATATTTTTTATTGATAGAAAATAATAATTTTATTTGGTGTGCAGTATTCGGGACCTGCGGACCAGAAGTATTGGAGAACTACTATCATTCTCTGGCACAGTAACCAGGACGTCCGAAGTGCGTCCAGAGCTGCTGTTTGGTGCCTTCACATGTGGAGATTGTGGCGGAGATACCACAGGAGTGGAGCAACAGTTCCGGTACAGTGAACCAGTCAAGTGTCAGAACCCGTACTGCGTCAATACGTTCGCATGGGAACTTAACACTGAAAAGTCCGTGTTCGTGGACTGGCAGAGGGTTAAAGTTCAGGAAAATAGTGACGAAATCCCGGCTGGCAGTATGCCTCGATCCATCGACGTCATTTTGAGGCACGAGAACGTCGAACAGGCCAAAGCTGGAGACCGTGTTGTGTTCACCGGTACATTAATCGTGGTCCCAGATGTATCCAAGTTTGCAAAAGCTGGTGGTGAGACTGCTGTGGCTACACGTAACAATAGCCAGCGACGTGGTGGAGAGAACAGTACCCAGGGAATGCAGGGCGAAGGCGTGCGTGGTCTCAAAGCTCTCGGTGTTCGAGAACTCACCTACAAGACGTGCTTCCTTGCATGCAGTGTACAGACTATGGAGCAGCGCTTCAACAGCATCTCAATCCGCAGTGAATTCAACGAAGACGGTGCTGAAGAAGACAGTGGTGAGGCAGCGTTGCAAGAATTCAGCGACGAGGAATTAGCTTCGATCCGTGACATGCAGCAAGACCCCGATCGATATCTGAAGATGGCCAAGTCTATCTGTCCGTCAGTATATGGCCACGATGAGATCCGGAAGGGTATTTTACTTATGCTATTCGGCGGTGTCCACAAGAAGACACTGGAAGGTATTAAACTACGCGGCGATATCAACGTCTGTATCGTCGGAGATCCGTCCACGGCCAAGTCGCAGTTCTTAAAGTATATCGTCGGATTCCTGCCTCGTGCCATCTACGCGTCCGGAAAAGTGAGTTCTGCTGCTGGTCTGACGGCCTCAGTGACTCGAGATGCAGACAGTGGAGACTACTGTGTCGAAGCTGGCGCTCTTATGTTGGCAGATAACGGTATTTGCTGCATCGACGAGTTCGACAAGATGGATCCCATGGACCAAGTCGCAATCCACGAAGCTATGGAGCAACAGACGATCTCTATCACTAAAGCTGGTATCCAAGCTACGTTGAACGCTCGTACGAGTATTCTGGCTGCGGCAAATCCTTACAATGGTCGATACGACAAGACCAAGACGCTCAAGTACAATGTCAACATCTCGGCGCCCATTATGTCGCGTTTCGACCTGTTCTTCGTTATCCTGGACGACGGCGACGAAGTTACGGACCAGAAGATCGCAGAGCATATCGTTAACATCCACATGCCAAGTGAATTGCAAGTGGAAGCCATGGAGAATGGCGCCTACAGTGAAGAAGACCTCAAGAGGTATATCAAGTTCGCGCGCACGCTGAACCCGGTGATCACTCCTGAAGCCAAGCGAATGATGGTGGCGTGTTACAGAAGTCTGCGTGAGAACGACGTGGTGAGCAATGGACAGACCAATATCGCCTACCGTATCACTGTACGTCAGCTGGAGTCTATGATTCGCTTGTCCGAGGCGTTGGCAAGACTCGATCTCAGTGAGACCGTGCTGGTCTCACACGTACAAGAAGCGTACAGATTACTCAGCAAGTCGATCATTCACGTGGATATGCAGAATGTCGAGCTGGAGTTGCCTGTACCTGCAGTTGAAGGTGAAGACGATGACGATCACAACGGAGGTGGTGGTGGGGATGATGGAGGCGATGACGGCCAGGACGGTACGAATGGGTCTGGTGGAGAGCCCTCCACTAAGTCAGCGACTCCGAACGGTACACCATCCAAGTCCAAGACATCGTCTTCGCTCTCTTTTGAGCGGTTTGCGAGGATCCAGAAGGCTATTGGAAGGTTTATCCGTGAGAAAGAAGAGGAAGCTATGAGTGCCAAACTCGCTCGTGATGCGATCCGTGCACAGACTAGTAGTGAGCAGAAGGAGGAAGAGGATTATGATGATGATGAAGCGACGGGAGTGCTACAAGGTGAACTCGTGACGTGGTATTTATCGTCGCAAGATATTACGTCGGAGGCGCAGCTCTCGCGTGAGAAGCAGATGATCTGCTCGGTGATTGACAAGCTGTTGCAGGATAAAATCTTGTCTGTGGTGGAGATGGAGGACGATGAAGACGAGAACATGGAGAAGGACAAGGAAAGCACCAAGAAACTCACTCCGGAGGAGCAAGATGCCAAGAAACAACAGAGGTATTTAACAGTGCACCCCAACTACGCCTTCGAGTAGAGCAAGTAGACATTAGATTCGCAATTATTGCCAATTATTGTGCAAGCTGAAGTTTTTTATTTTTGGAATAGCCAGTTTTTCGATCTTTGAGGGTCGTAAACTAAAGCAGCCGAAGTCTCACATAACTCGAATACCATGCGCGTCTACACGCCGATGCAGGCTGCAGGGAGCAGCACGACGGAGGAGACGTTCCTTCAAGCTGAGCATTTCGTGGCTGTAGTGCTCTCTCGACTGGAAAAAGACCCAATGTCGGTGTCTCCTCGCCTCTGGGCGCTCCAACAGCAGCCTACTGCAAATCGATTATGGGCATTCAAGCAGCAAGCGCTCATGGGCTCATGCGATTCCTCGCGCGGTTCGAGGAAGTACGAGGAGTTGAACCCGCAAAGAAACGCCACGGGGCTTTTGGGCTTCCGCTGCTGCCAATTCGTCGCAGGAGATGACTCCAAACTGTAGGATCAAAGTGAGACTTGAATAGTTTTCATTAGTGTTCATTTTCATGTTATGCATGTACAGGAAAATGTGGCAAAAGCTCGGCGACATGTCGGCGGAGGAGGCTCAACGCGAGTACATTCGCGTCGTGGAAGACGTGCTTCCTCAATGGCAGTCGCCTCCAAGTTGGGATGGAGCTTTGCTGGTAAAATACACTTCCAAAGTTCTAGAATATATACCGGATATAATACTGTTATCGTGTTTCCAGCGCACATGGACTCCCGACGACTGTAGTGATCGCTGCTCGGTGTGCCACGAAGCCTTCACCTTCTTAAATCGCCGTCATCATGTAAGTTTCCAGTCGAATGTTACCCTCACCATCTCATATGCTAATGATTTTTTCTTCATAAAGTGTCGCCGCTGTTTGAATCTCGTGTGCGCTGTGTGTTCGCCGCACACGGTTCCTCTGCGTGTGTTCTCGGAGCCTGTGGGCAAACGTCAACGCGTATGTGCGACCTGTTTCGATGAGATTGGCGAGGCTGCTCGACGTGGTTCATTAACCAGCAGCGAACAAGTGCGTGAAGCTACTGTACCCATTCCTATTGAAGAACAGCCAAACCAAGAGACTGATAATGGCGAGGCTTCGTCCGAGACACTCACATCGTCACCAGCAATTCACTTGGGCACACTCGAGTTCCTCCAGGGAGCGTACGGCCAAGGATCCAAAGTTTACCGCAAAACATGGAACTCTTACTTCTTCGTTCTACTCGTCCGTAAAGGCTCTTTGGGGATGTTTGCGTCTCAAGCTGAACATCTCGCTGGTTGTCAACCTCCAGCCGCAGTATTCAAGCTCAGTGGATACACATTGCGTATCCGATCGCAACCCAAGCGTCCACATCAATTCCGCCTCACACACAGTAGCAAAGGCGGTAGTCCCAAGAAGACGCTGCACTTTGCAGCTTCCAGTCTCGAGGAGATGAACGGCTGGATCGCTGCACTGATCAAAGCTATCGCCGTGGCTGATGAACTGGAACGCGTTGCCACTGAGGAACGTCTTAACAAGCAGACGGAGAACGCGTAAGAAGCGAGTTGTGTGGACAATATGACGTCTTGTTCTTCATATTCATCAGTGGCAATCATAGTACTATATACTTCGTAGTTCTACAACAAAAGCGGAGGCGATTCATAAGAGCCTGATAAGTTTCGTAGATACACGCGACGATCACACGAGAGGGCGAGCGGCCGACTTCGACTGGGGGCGGCGCTTGGAGGGGTTTTGACTGAGGTGGGGGGGGCTTGAACTACTCGACTCCTTCTTCATCTTCATCTCTTGTACAGGGAGGAACCCAACAACCTTCATAATGGTACACTTTGTGGCTGACGTCGGGCTCCTCCAGAAGGAGGGCGAGGTAATTTAAATAAAAAACATCTCTGGGAACACCCGCGGCAAACGCAACGAGCAGTTGCAGAAGGAGGAGGTACGGCTCGTTCTACCGTGTAAGCACCAGACTCTCTCCCGCACTTTGCTTTACTCCTGCACGATCATACACCGCGAGAGCGGTGCGTTGACTGCGCATGAGAAGAACTCGATGGTTTGGTTGCCCGCAGTGACCATGACTCTACCGGACGGAGTCTTGCCGAGCTCGTACTTGCTGAGCTTTACCGGCGTGGGGACAGTGGGCACCGTCGTCATATCTGGGCTGGCGAGGCCCATAGTGTAGTCGTCCAGTTCGTCCAGTTCATCAGCGTAGAACGGACCTTCCTGGGAGGACGAGGATGCCGTGGACGCGCCCGAGTTGTAGTACTCCTGCTGGTTGTAGTACGTAGGGCTGCTAGGAGATGAATAGTACTCGGCGTAGCTGCGCTGCTGGTAGGACGTAGGCTTGACTGGTGAAGAGTAGCCGTCGTAGGCGCTGTACTTGGTAGGGGACGAGTACTGCGGGTGGTTGTACTTGGAGGGCGACGCCGAGTAGTGCGTCTGGTGTCGGGAATACCGCGAGTTACCGTACATTGTACTGGAGTTTTGTATACTTGGAGCTTGTTTTGCGCGTGGCTTTTTCGGGAATGGCAGGTGCAGCAGAGCGCTGGTTTTAGGTAATCTTACCGTAATTTATTTTAAAAATCAAATCGAGAGAAAAAAAAGGACAGTCTGTTTCCGTTTGGTCTTTGTCTCAAGTACTTGCGTTTGTAAGAGCGTGAGGATGAACGCCACTCGAGAAAGCCAGTCCAAGGAATTTATTTTTGAAAATAGATTACGGGTGTAACGGCTGATCGGCAGCTTTGCAGCATCTGGCTCACTCGGCTCCCTCTTGTTGTCTTGTTGCAGCCAGCGTCGGAAGAGGATCCGCGTGGATTCCCGTTGACAAGCGAGCCGCTTGTTGCACCTGCGATCTTCTAGCGGCGTCAAAATGGCATTGCAAACGCTGTCGCTGCCAAAGCTGTTGCTCTATTAACCAGGCGTGTCGATTCTACACGGTAGATGATGATGATACGGGAACCCTAAAGGCCGTGGCCCTGAGTTTTTTTTTTTTCGGAAACTGCCGTTCCAAGTGCCTACGTTTCTTATCTGTTTGCACTGCACCGAGAGAGCTCTCGGAGTTCCTCAGCGCCCCTAAAACAAGGCAAAGCGTAGTCGAGAGGCACGGCTGCCGATCAGCGCGTAAAGGGGCCTGGGCAACGGAAATCCTCCAAGCGGAGCGACGCACTCCGGCACTGCTCCAGTGCCAGCTGAAGGGCGTGGACCAATCAGAAAGCAGGAAAGGCCCACCTTCTGACACCGAAGGATGGGCGGCTAATACAAAATGCAAGTGAAATGCGTGTCACGAGAGAGATTGTCAGCCCTGTAAAGTTTGACCGGATTCCGTACAGTTTGGACTTGATACACCTGCTGGACTCGAGCATGCTCTGGCCATCGCCGAGCGAACCCAGGAGAGGACTGTAACGGGAAAGGCATCACTGTTTGAAACACAATAAACATGGAGTGCATGATGGAGTGCACCCACACGGGTTGACTCTCGTAAGCTCTTTTGCATTCCATACTGGGGCCCATACTAAAGGGTCTGTCTCAATCCCAAAGAGACACGCAAGGCAACTTCAATACTACTAGTAGTATAATATGTATTTCGTCTGCTCGCGCGATATCCAATGATGCAATGATGCTTGTCATTGTCAAGATCACTCAGGGTCGCATGACAAGGATCACTGCAGCGAAAAAGATAAAAAGATCCCAACGCGAAAGCGGTGCTGGCAGCACTGCCGCAATTGGGACTTCAACATGCTCACCACCTTGACACCACAGCTGGCAAGCAAGGGCAAGGGTGGCGGCCATGCCGCTTGCAGACGACGTTGTTGCTAGCGACACCGAAAGAATAGCTCCACTGCACTGCAAGTGTGTGTTGGTCACCGTTTCACCCCAGGGTTACAATAATACCAAGGTAAAGATTGGTGCACTCGTCGGCAGAGCCGCGACTTTAGCAATAGTATTTAAGAAATATTGAAAATAATTGCCATTTTTTAAACAATGAGAAAAATGTTGCTTAACTTTAATTGAAAACAAAACATAATGAAGTAGAAGAATAATTTGAATTAAAAACACAGACATGATTTTTAACCGAAGTTTCCAAGATGGGTTTAATCACTTGAGTTCACTAAATATCACATAAAGTACGACATCGGACTTAAAGGGAGCAGCTTGGTGTCATTTCTCACTGTATTTGCACAGAATATTATTTTATTGCAATAATTTTAGACATACAAGTTTTATTCAATTATTATCATTATTTTTGTTCATTTTTGGTTCGTGCTTGATTGTTGAGGAAACTTGCCTGCATATCACCAGTGCTGATTCAGCACCTGTAACCACTACGTAGACAAATAAACAAGCAGTGTGACAACTAGCAAAACGGTTTATTAGGCTACGCTGTATCTTGTCTTCCGGTTGCCGTTTCAATTCGCCTAGCTCCTGCAACTCGCTTTCTTGGTCACGTTAATGCGCGTCCTGGCTCCACTGGATCGTGTTGGGGTCAATGCCTTCCTGCACCATTTCCCACAGCGGACTCATCTCACGCAGACGCGTGACGTGCTTGACACACAGGTCCACGGCATAGTCGATCTCCTTCTCCGTCGTGAAGCGACCAATGCCGAAGCGGATGGACGTGTGCGCCAAGTCCTCGCCCACGCCAATGGCACGCAGCACGTACGACGGCTCCAGCGATGCACTGGTGCACGCACTGCCCGAAGAAACGGCAATGTTCTTAAGCGCCATCAACAGACTCTCTCCCTCCACATACGCAAAGGAAAGGTTAAGGTTGCCAGGGTATCGTTTCTCGAGATCACCGTTAAGAACAACGTGTTCGATACGGTCAGTGATCCCGTGGTAAAGCTTATCCGACAGGTAGCTGACCCAGCGGTGGTCGTTCTCCATCTCAAGGGCAGCGATCTCACACGCCTTACCGAAGCCTACACAGAGCGGAGCCGCTAAGGTACCACTACGCAGACCACGCTCCTGTCCGCCACCCGAGATAATAGGCTCCAGACGCACACGGGGACGACGACGCACGTACATGGCGCCAACGCCCTTAGGACCGTACACTTTGTGGCCCGACATGGACATAACGTCGATGTTCATGTCGTTCACGTCGATCGGCAGTTTGCCCAGCATCTGAGCGGCATCAGTGTGGAAGAAAACCTTGCGCTCACGGCAAATCTGGCCGATCTCCTTGAGTGGCTGCAGCACGCCGATCTCATTGTGCACTGCAATGATAGACACCAGCGCCGTGTCCGGACGGATCGCAGCCTTGAGTTGCTCCAAGTCCACGAGACCGTTGCTGCCCACGGGCAGGTACGTGACCTCGAAGCCCTCGGTCTCCAGCACACGGCACGAGTCCAGCACGCACTTGTGCTCGATCTGCGTGGTGATGATGTGCTTCTTCTTGGCCTTGGTGAAGTGGGCGATGCCCTTGAGGATGGCGTTGTTGCACTCAGTAGCGCCCGACGTGAAGATGATTTCCTTGGAGTTTGCGCCAATCAGATCGGCCACGCTGCCGCGTGCCTGCTCCACGGCCTTGTCGGCGTCCCAGCCGAATTCGTGTGTGGTCGAGTGCGGGTTGCCGTACGCGTACGTCATGTACGGCAGCATGGCGTCCAGCACACGCGGGTCCATGGGTGACGTGGCCTGTACGTCCAGATACGCGGGCTTGGCGCCCTTGACGGGCGCGTTCTCGCCACGCACTGCGAAGCCAGGGGAGAAGATCGTCTCCGAGTTGACGTTTGCCAGCACATTGGCGGGCACTTCGTTCACGGGCGTGTAGCGCTTGTCCGTAGCGAAGGCACGCACCGAAGTGGCCGCCTGGGCGCGCACGCGGAGGCTGCGCGTAGAGCTCGATAAGGTGCGCAGAGCCTGCATTCTCACTTGATGATCTACTGACGCTTCGAGGAGCTTCTGTGGGCCATTTGTGGAGGGGCTAGCACGACATACATTCTGTTTCGAAAGGTGGTTTTTAACGCGTATGATACGCGTTTTATACGCGCTAAGAAACGCACACGCGTCAGAACAATTGTGATTGGCTGGACATGTTAAACGGAATAGGGGAATCTTACAGGAATGATGGTCTGATGACGCACACGTCTCCACAATAAAATTCTATTGTGTTTTTTGTGTTTTATTATGTAAATGTTGTGTTTTTACAGTTGATGTGCGGCTTTTGGATCATAGTCCAGCGCCCAAGCTGCAAACGCCTCGGCCGATGTAGACACTCGTCGAAGTAACGTCTTCCGTCGCTCTGTGACAGCGTAGACTCGGTTGGCACTTGCAGCTTGTGAGGACGATGCAGAGCGAGAGTGACCACGCTCCAAGTCGCTCGAAAAATAGTCGCTGTCCTGTTGGTCGTCATAATCGTCCTCCACCCTACCATTGGCCACCGTATCGAGGTTGTCCCGATTGTTCTTATCGCTCTTGCTGTGCACGTCCGGCATGAGGATCACAAAATCCTCTTCTCGTGGAGCTTCCGCTTTATTCCGTGTCGGTAGCAGCGGTATTCGCCTGGTATCTTGTCGTCGTAACTTTGGACCTGATGGAGTTAATGCTGACGGTGCAGAGGCTGGCTCGGAGGACGGACCAACACTCTCGATGTTGTAGTCTTTCAGCACACGGAACGCACGTTTACGCTGCAATCTCTCCTCTGCACGACGCTCAAGACGTTGCGCTGGAGTGTCGAAGACCCACATGGTCTCTCCGTCGCTGCTTGATTCGCTGCTCTGACGCGTTGTGAGGGTCGGTCTTGGACTGCGTGAGTCTCCACCCTCGTTTTCTGAGTCATCCTCATGCTCGTGTTTCTCGTGGTGCCGGCGCTTGGTGACGGAGCGAGCGAGAGCGTGGAAAACGGCCGAGATGTTGGAGTCGTAGTGTTTTTCGAACTCGTCCAGTTGAATTTTACTATTCAGCGCCAAAATTTTCTTCTCCCGGAGATTGCATAAGTGTTCGTCCGGGTCCAAAGGATCTTCATATGCTTCTTCGCTTTCCGAGTCCCTTCGCTTCTTGTCGTTTTCATTTCCGTCGTTTTCCGTGTTGGGATGAACGGCTTGAGTTGTGCCATGGAACGAAATGAAGCTGGTGAAGCTGCGTCGAATACGGTCATGCCGCAACGCGTCTTGCCGTTTCTTTTCGCGATAAGCTCGAAGCTTTTCCACTTTTTCCATGTGCTTTTCAGCTCTTTCGACGATAACATCCCATCGTTCGCGCAGTTGTTCCGACGTGTACAATGCAAATTGCGGTTCGTAATTATTCTGCTTCGCGAGTAAATTATCAAGAACCCGAATCAGTTCCCACTTGGGTCCAACGTGTTGAACCGCAAGCACCAGCACTTCGTCGTTGAAGCAGTCGCAGTGCTTGATACGCTCCGTACAATACGGACACAGATCCTTCCAGCCCCATGTTTTAATGATCAGATACCACGCGAAATCTTGCACAAGACCCATAAGCGACATCCGCGCAATTGCTGCCAATACGCCGTAATAAATGAACTGCTTGAGGAAAAGGCAACTACGAAAAGCCCAGATGTAGAAGATCGGAGCTTGTGCTAAAGTGAGGAGAACCACCACCAAAACTTGCAAAATAAACGCCAATCGGAACGAAAACCCACTCAGATCTCCACCCGCAGCCTTGGCACGGAAATATTTGCGTCGTTGACGGAAAATGAGCTTGAAAAGCTCCTTAAATATGGCCTTTCCTGCTGATGGTAGCACAGATACCATGATTGCATACAGCACCACTGACGTGAAGATGGTGATATCCGCTCCCCATGAATCGCGCAACATGACGATAATGAACAATACGTAAAACGTAATGTACAGTGAGCACACTACGATCAACGCGCGTTCACCACGGGAAAGTTGTTCGTTGCGGTAGGGGCAAAACACCCACGTGAAGTAGTTTTCATGGCGCCACCAAGTGTAGAACGGCTCAAACGGTCGACGAAATTTCTTCCAGCAACAGGGTCCACACAATCTGGTTTTGGGAACCTTGCGATCCCACGGCATAGGCTGCCAGTAGTCCACCTCGTTCTCGGGTACATTGAGTTCCCGTGCGTAAATACGCTCAATATTCTTCTGGAAACTTTCACAGTGGGTGATCATCTGGAAAACTCGCAATCCGAACAATGTGATGATCAAGTAAGGGAGAAATAGTAGTAAATACGCTCCACCAACAATTCCAGATGAGCTACACGCCACTGGCATGGGGTTTACCGAGATGGACGTGACGTTAAAGTGTTCCCACGCAGCTCTATCGCTCGTCTCCCCCTGTTTATCCAGATCGAAGATTTTCTCGTCGGAATCCACACTTGATGGCAATTGTGAAATTTGGCAATAGTCATTCGTAGGATCTCGCGCGAGATAGCATGGCTGGATGACGAAATACATACTCTCCTCGATCTTATTCTCAATGAAAGTGCGCGGTAAGTACGCATATGTCGTGCGTAGTGTTGATCCCTCTTCAATGTACTCAAATGGCTCACCATCAACGTAGTGTTCGTACTCGTCTTCATTGAGAAGCAATGCGTTAAAGTACGAAGAATTGGGATTCGCATTGGCGTTTGAACTCGGAGTTTCAATGGTGTAAGTGAGATGGAAATCAACCTCCTCTAAGAAATGGAGATACGTGTAGTCTTGCGTCACCTGCACGTTCTGTTCGGTGAATGCATCCAAGTGCAGCACCTCATTTAAATGCAGTGAAGAAAGCGAGAAACCCAGCCACATGACGACGCCCACACCGATACCGAGCCACGCCCAGAACTGTACACAACCTCTACGTTTGCTGTACCTGGTTCCAATAAAATCCGTCCAAAAGTGTTTGTGTTCCGGTACAACCGGCCGTTCAGATACATACGCCGCCGCCACTTTACCTGCTTCACTGTCTTCATCTTCTTCTACGTCGTTGATCTTAATATTCGGTTCGTGTCCGATAGACTTGCAGTAGGCCAAATAGGCTTCCAATAATTCCGTATCCAGCTTCTCGTTCGCAGTACTTTCTTCCTCGTCACGTTCTCCATCCTTCTCTTCCTCTATGTCTTTATACAACGCCTCACTGACTCTGCTGTTACGTCGCGCGGAACTCTGTCGAAACGTGTCAAAGTCTACAGGTTCGTTCTTGTCGGCCAGTCGCGTCAGATCCTCAAATAACGCACAGTTCTCCTTTGTTAGAGATCGACGCCGAGTTGCAACGTCCTCTGAGTCTGGCGCGACGGATTCTGATGCCGCTCTGCGTCGGAACTCGACGCTAGAGAGCGTCTCTGGCTCTGTAGTGGTGTCTCGGCGTCGTCTGCGTCGTCGACTGCCTCTGTCGCTACTAGGAATGGCCCCCAATCTCCGCTGGCTCACTGGGAGCTCGTCGAACTCGTCAGCGCCGAGGAATTGAGGGTCTCGTCGCCGTGAAGACGGGGGAGACGGCATCGACACGCAGGCGATTGGCGAATGAGCGTAACGAGGAGCCGAGTGCCCCGGCGATTGGGGTGCTGACTCCCTCTTCGTCAGTGTTGATGTGCACGTGGTAATCATAATCATAATAGCCAATCAACGAATTTTTAGGTATATTTATATCCAATCGCACCGTCTTACTCTGACTGATTATGTGTGCGAATTGATGGCTCCACTTTTAATTTTGTGTGCCCAGAGTCGAGACTTGCAGGCAATTAATGTTGCCTTGCCACAGCCCGGGGTTAGACGATCTCATTGTTTTGCTTTGGCAGTACACTTAGAATCCCACGTGGCTACATGTTTGCGGCTGTATGACGGGATGGCGTTTGTGACACTTCGTTTGCCGTGATACATGACATGTATGATGTGATGGCAAATCCATTGTTCGGAAGCAATATCCACTCGTTGTTGGCTTACATTTTCTTTATCGGTCTACCCTCGGGGTCGATAGCATCAAGAATATTGATTCAAGATCAATGAACCATATCGGCTACTAAAAGTAGAAAAAAAAAAATAAACGCGCGAGGCGGTCTATTATTCATGCAAAAAAATACTGGGCTTCTGATAAATTATGGCATTCATGCCATGCTATTAGTATTTTACGTTCGGGTCGTAATTGAGCGCCCAGGCAGCGAAGGCCGAGGCTGAAGCAGACACTCTCCTTAACAACGTCTGCGGTCGCTCAGTGACGGAGTACACACGAGTTGTGCTTTGTGGCGGTTGATCTGGAGCGTTTGAAAGAGGCTGACGCGTGCCACGCTCCAAGTCGCTCGGGTATTCATCGTCCTCATCGTCGTAGTCGTCCACACAGCCAGTAGCCAACTCATCGAGGTTTACCTTGTCCTTGTCCTTGCTTTTGTGTTCGTCCGGCATCAGAATCACCAGATCCTCACTACGAGGTGTAGTCGGTCTGTTGCGAGTAGACAGCAGCGGCCTCTTCTTCGTGTCTGGGCTAACTCGACTCGCGGACAACGGACCTGCACCGGAGATCGCAGACATGGAGCCTTGACGCGAGAGAATCGGAGACAACATCGGAGATGCAGGGGCTCTGGGCTCCGGATTCGGATCCACACTCTCGATCTTGTAGTCATTCAAGACTCGGAACGCTCGTTTACGTTGCAGCTTTTCCTCTTCTCGTCGCTCAAGACGTTGAGCAGGTGTATCAAACACCCACATCGTCTCTCCATTGGTGCTTTGAGAAGCACTACTACCAACCTGCGTGTGTGACCTGGACCCTTCATGTTCATTGTCGCTTTGATCCTCTTCCGGAATCTGTTCCAGACCCGCACTCTTCGACTTGGACTTGGCTGTACGCTTGCTTTTACCATGATGCCGAAGCTTTTGAACTGACTGCGTGAGAGCATGGAAAACCTCGGAAATGTTCGAGTCGTAGTGCTTCTCAAAGGTGTCCAGCTTGATCTTGTCGTTGAGTTCCAAGACCTTCTTTTCACGAAGACTACATACGCGAACATCCACATCGGAGTCTCGATTTCGGTTCTCCTCCGTACTGCTGCTGGTACTGCCCACTTCAGAAGATTTCCGGTGCGTTGTATCGTCTTCGCCTTCTAGTTTTCCAGATCCTGGCTGATCCGACTGCGTCGTCCCTCGGAACGACAAGAAACTTGTCAAGCTGCGACGAACGCGGTCGTGACGTAGAGCTTCCAGCCGCTTCTTCTCCTGATACGCACGAAGCTTCTCGATCTTCTCCATGTGCTTCTCTGCTCGCTCAACCAAAACCTCCCAACGTTCACGTAATTGCTCGTACGTGTACAATTCAAACTGGGGGTCGTAGTGATGCTGCTTGGCCATAAGACCATCCAGTACCCTAATAAGTTCCCATTTCGGTCCAACACGCTCGACTGCGAGCACCAGTAATTCATCGTTGAAACAGTCGCAGTGCTTGATACGCTCCGTGCAATACGGACACAGATCCTTCCAGCCCCACGTCTTGATGATCAAATACCAGGCGAAGTCCAGCAACAATCCCATCAGAGACATCCGCATGATCGCAGCTAGCACGCCAAACCACATGAACTTCTTGAGGAACAAACAACTACGAAAAGCCCAGATGTAGAAGATCGGAGCTTGTGCTAGTGTGAGGAGAACCACAACCAAAACCTGCAAAATAAACGCCAGTCTGAACGAAAACCCACTCAGATCTCCACCCGCAGCCTTGGCACGGAAATATTTGCGTCGTTGACGGAAAATGAGCTTGAAAAGCTCCTTGAAAACGGCCTTTCCAGCTGACGGGAGGATGGAGATGAGGATGGCATATAACACCACTGAAGTGAAGATAGTGATGTCTGCACCCCAGGAATCTCGCAGCATCACAATGATAAAGAGCACGTAGAAAGTAATGTACAATGAGCACACCACGATCAGTGCTCTCTCTCCACGCGAGAGTCGCTCGTTGCGATAGGGACAAAAGATCCACGTGAAGTAGTTTTCATGCCGCCACCACGTGTAGAAGGGCTCGAAAGGCCGACGGAATTTACTCCAACAGCACGGTCCACAGAGCTTCGTCTTGGGTACTTTACGATCCCAAGGCATCGGCTGCCAGTAATCCACTTCGTTCTCCGGAACATTTAATTCTCTCGAGTATATTCGCTCAATGTTCTTTTGCCAGCCTTCGCAGTGACTTATCATCTGGAAAACGCGTAGTCCAAAGAGAGTGATGATCAAATACGGCAAGAACAGCAGCAAGTAGCTGCCTCCGAGCCATCCAGACGAACTGCAAGCCACCGGCATGGGGTTCACCGACATGTACGTGACGTTGAACTCTTCCCAGGCTTCTTTCTTAGCCATCTTCTTCTTTTGGTCCAGATTATAGATCTTCTCGCTTGAGTACACACTCGTGGGTAGCTGTCCAGTCTGGCAATAGTCTGCAGTTGGGTTACGCTCGAGATAACACGGTTGCACGACGAAGTACATGGTCTCCTTGATCGTGTTGTCGATGTACGTATGCGGTAGATAGGCATACTTTGTGCGCAGTGTAGTACCCGCTTCGATATACTCGTACGGCTCACCATCAATGTAGTGTTCGTACTCGTACTCGTTAAGCAGCAGAGCGTTAAAGTACGACGCGTTCGGGTTGCTCTGTGTGTCTGGATTGGGCGTCTCGATAGTGTACGTGAGGTGGAAATCGACTTCTTCTAAGAAGTGGAGGAAGGTGAAATCCTGCGTGACTTGGACGTTCTGGGCTGTAAACGCGTCCAGGTGTAGCACCTCGTTAAGCTGCAGTGAAGAGAGCGAAATACCCAGCCATAACAACACACCAACTCCGATCAATAGCCACGTCCAGAACTGCACACAACCTCGACGTCTGCTGTATCTTGTACCCAAAAAACCGGTCCAAAAGTGCTCGTGTTCCTTGACCACAGGACGATCGTGAATGTACGACACTCGGTGGGCTACGTGTGGATCTTCGTCATCACTGTCGTCTCTGTCAACGTGACTGTCTCGAGGTTTGTCATCTGCTCCAAGAGGGATCATGGCCGGGTTCAATTGGATGTTTGGCTCGTGCCCAATTGACTTGGAATAGGCAATATAGGCCTCCAATAGCTCCGTATTGATCATCTCTTCCATCTCTTCGTCGCTCGTTTCACTATCTGATGAACTGAAATCGGACACATCATGAGCTTCAGCCGATCCTGAGCGTCTCAACTGAGCACTCAGCGACTTGTTACCGCTCCTGGATCGGCCTTTTCTCCTCTGTTTGAACGTGTCGAACTGCACCGGTTGGTGCGTGTTGGCTAAGTGCACCAGCTCCTCAAATAGCGCTCGGTTTTCTCTGCGTCTAGCGCGTTCATCAGGTGTCTCGTTCTCTCTATTGGGCGAGTCCATGGGCAGCGACAACTGCTGTCTCAAACTCCTTCTCTGCTGGCGTGTCGGCTTCTCTTCTTCCTCTGTAGTGGCGGTTAATGCCGACTCGGACGCTGTTCTGTGTCTAAATACTCGTCTAAGCAGTCCTTCTCCGCTGCCTCGACGCCTTCGCCTCCGTTTGTTGCCTCTGTCGCTGCTCATGGCGCTGCCAATGCTGCGTTGACTATTGGGCTCCTGCTCTTCGTCTGTCTCTATGATCGCCTCTGTAGCGTTGGAAACGGGTCCGAAAAACGTGTTGGCAATGAAACGATGGTGCATTTCGCGCGTGCTGCTGTTGTAGCTGCTGATACTCGGGTTGCTACGTGCGCTCCACAGGTCGTCGGACTCGGATGCACTTGGCTGAGCCTCCAGAGAGCGCTGGAAGGTGCTCGGGGGCTCAATCGACGCAGAATTTACTGGCGCAGGCAACGCGGAGGCTGCCGCCGCGGCATTCGCGGCGGCGATCGCATCCGGAGAAGGCGGAGGCTTCCCCTGCGCTGTCATAGCGTGCGTCTCTGCCAGAATTGAAAAGTGACGCTTGCACGCGTAATCGGTGCAAATACGTGTATTAGGGTTATGAAGAGTAGTCTTCCTCTGCCATCCTTGCCGCTCATTTTTACTTGATATTTGTATCAGATTTGCAGAGCTTTTCAAAAGATCACGATAAGTCAGAAGCCAGCCAATCAGAATCGATTCAGAATGCATCAAGTGAAATTCGAGGATTACGTACTGATCTACGATTACGCCAGGTCATACTGTAGAAAAAAGAAAAAGTGACCATTCTGGAGTGACAATAAGGATCGATGGTCGAGCGTCTAAGACCTCGGAGCAGTGCAGTTCATGTAATCATTGGATGGAAGACAGAGAGCGATTTCCTCACAAATGATTTACTAGAGAGTTTGCGTGAAAATGGGCTGCACGTACTCTCAAAACGGAGTTCATTCTTGCCAAGTGAGACTTGCGCAAATCCGGCATGTATTCCGTTAATACTCAATGATGGGACGGAGAAGAAGGTTGGCGTAAGCCTGGAACCACCGCTGTCCATTGCTGCATGAAAGTGTAGGTCGGCTGATTATGGGCTTGCACTGCGACGAGAAGCTGTCAAAGGGAATGCATGTCGTTGTTACTGTAGCTACCTCCACGAGATCGCCCCGCTCAGTGAAGGACACTCAACTCGCGAACGAAGAAGCCCCCATTTCCACAATTGTAAATTCATTTGCCAGCCGATCAAGTGAGTGTTTTTTTTTATTGTTCTCACCAATCAACTGAAATTTCAACGTTGACAACCAAGAAATTCACATTTGCGTTTCTTGCATGTGTCAGTCGCGACTGGGAGAGGAGGCCGGCAGCTGGGTCATGGATACATCTTGTTGGTTGGACACTCTGTGCCTGAGATCCCGGATACATCAGAACGCTGGGTCACAGAGCTAGCATCCCATGTAAATGAGTGTCGTTTCGTACAGAGCTCCATGCCCTGAACCTTTATCTATAGCGTCGTCTACTGCCATTACGGTATCGAATGCGGTTGTTGTCGACAGGGAGGCTGGCCTCCGAGGCTATTCACGTTGGCTAGGCGTGTTAGCCTGCGACTCGTAGCATTCATTTGGCTGAGAAGGAGCTCCGTGGCAACTACGTCGTTCTGGTATGATTTAGTTATAGGTTATCACGACTAGCGTTTTCGTGAAAATCGGCCAAATCTCCTACCGATTTGGATGAAGTGGAAACACGACGAATATCGGATTGACACTGGAATTAGCTGCAGCCGAGAGGAACTATTCGTGCGTGTTCCGTGCCTCATCGTCCACAGATATTGGGCGATCGTATATCACAAGCTTAAAGAATTGATCTGGGTGCTGGATCTCGCCGCAAAACTCTTTGAGGTTCATTACGAAGCCGCGATCTCAAATCCCATGAACAGAATTCCCGAATTTTGGATAGCGTTCCCGAAATCTGGATCAACTTCACAATAGGTGAGACGGATCACCTATGCACTGGTGTCACAATAATCAGCAAGCGCAAGTCAACATTGGATATGACGCTCCCCCTTGAGACGTGATGTCGTTTTTGACTGTGATTGGCTTGAATCGAGACACGCTTATGGCGACCACAAAGCGATCCCTGCTTAGACGGTATCATTCACCGATCGTACATGGAGGACGCAGTCTCTACTGCTAATGGTGCCGACTACAAGTCAGGAGAATGATGATATCGATGGACTTCCACTCAGTCGGAGCAGTGTGGGAAATGGCACGATGAGCGACAGAGGACAGCGACGACGCGGATACACGAACACAGGGACAGAAACTCTTAGAAATGATAAAGCAAGGCGGGGGGCGGCGTCGGGGCCGATTTTACCGATGCAGAACAGTACGTTGCTCGAGGATCTAGCAATATTAGCCGATACGGACCAGCCAGTAACCCTTGATACATTTCGGAGAGGATCATCCGTCGAAAGGAAAAGCGTTGGCAACATCAACACTCCTCTGTGCTCTCAGTTGAGGGAATCCGGGAGTGAAGTCGTGCACCATGTAGAGGAACCGGGGTTATCGAAAGCCAGAGACGATGAGGACAACGAAGGAACCGACAATGATGATGATAAAGTTATCGATACGGAATTGTTGGAAACGTGCATCGCTTACTGCAAATCGGTCGGGCATGAGCCCAACATCCAGGTTGAGTCAGGGGGGATATCACCAGAAATAATTCTTCATCGAGGGAGTGGCTCCACTGCAGATGACGTAGACTCATACATCCAAGAGAGACCAGTTGTGCAGGATCATTATCACTTCTGGACGAAATGCATCGGCACTCGATACAGCAAACGTCGCGGTTGTACGCAGTTCTGGGCGTGGCTGCTTATCGGCGTCGGTGTGCTGCTTTGGTTGGGTATCTCACTCTCTTCATTACAGTTGAACGAAGTTCTACACTTAGACGCATTCACAGTGAAGAACGTGCAAGTTACCGAGGATTACACGTTCCTCCACTTCCTCGAAGAGGTAGATTTCCACCTCACGTACACCATAGAAACTCCAAGTCCGGACTCTAGGGCGAACCCGAATTCCTCGTATTTCAACGCTCTACTACTCAACGAGTATGAATACGAGCACTACGTCGACGGTGAACCATTCGAGTACATAGCAACCGGCTCCAAGCTCCGAACGACGTACGCTTACTTGCCGAATACGTACATTGACAACACCATCGAGGAAACAATGTACTTCGTCGTGCAGCCGTGTTACTTGGAGCGTAATCCGACGGTAGACTATTGCAATTCCACACAATTACCTACAAGTGTGAGCTCGAGTGAGAAAATCTACAATCTCGATCAGAAGAGGAAGATGAAGAAGAACGCCGTGTGGGAACACTTCAACGTCACGTACATGTCGGTAAACCCGATGCCCGTAGCTTGCAGCTCATCAGGATGGCTCGGTGGAGCCTACCTCCTTCTCTTCCTACCATATTTGGTCATTACACTATTCGGACTTCGCGTTTTCCAAATGATTCGTCATTGCGAAAATTGGAAGAAAAATATTGAGCGCATTTACTCACGTGAACTCAACGTACCAGAGAACGAGGTGGACTACTGGCAGCCGATGCCATGGGATCGCAAAGTACCCAAAACCAGATTGTGTGGACCGTGCTGCTGGAAAAAGTTTCGTCGACCGTTTGAGCCGTTCTACACTTGGTGGCGCCATGAAAACTACTTCACGTGGGTGTTTTGTCCATATCGAAACGAGAGATTGTCACGTGGAGAGCGAGCTCTCATTGTGGTGTGTTCACTGTATGTCACGTTTTACGTGCTGTTTATCATCGTAATGCTGCGCGATTCGTACGGTTCAAGTATCACGATTTTAACGTCGGTGGTAATGTACGCTGTTTTAACGTCGATTTTACCATCTGCGGGCAAGGCGATATTCAAGGAATTGTTTAAACTGATTTTTCGACAACGCCGCAAATATTTCCGAGCCAAAGCAGCGGGTGGAGACTTGACGGGCTTTTCGTTTCGACTGGCGTTCCTGCTGCAGGTTCTTGTGGTAATTCTTCTAACGTTGGCGCAAGCACCGACTTTCTACATCTGGGCGAAACGTAGTTGTCTTTTCCTCAAGAAATTTATCTATTACGGGGTGCTTTCCGCAATTTTGCGGGTGTCACTCATGGGAGTTGCTCTGGATTTTGCATGGTATTTAATCCTTCAGACCTGGGGCTGGAAAGATCTGTGTCCACTGTGCACGGAACGTATCGCACACTGCGATTGTTTTAACGATGAATTACTCGTGCTTGCTGTCGAACGAGTTGGACCCAAATGGGAACTTATTCGCGTACTTGACGGTCTAATGGCCAAGCAAAACAACTTCGACCCGCAGTTTGGACCATATACTGCTGACCAATTACGCGAACGCTGGAATGTCATTGTCGAGCGAGCGGAGAAACACATGGAAAAGGTCGAGAAACTCCGTGCATATCAAGAGAAAAAGAGGCAAGAAACCCTGCGTCGAGGACGTTTTCGCCACAATTTCACAACTTTTCTATCGCGTCGGGGATCAGTGAACCAACCCAATTCTTCCGACGTGGAGAACACGGAAAACAGCTCAGAAGAAACACGCGATGGCTCATTAGAGTCTAGTATTCCTATCTGCAGTGTCCGTGAAAAGAAGATCCTTGAATTGAACAGCAAGATCAAGTTGGACGCGTTTGAGAAACACTATGACTCCAACATCGCTGACGTCTTCCACGCACTCACGCGTTCCGTTATGAAACACCGTCGCCACAACAAGCCAAGACACCACACTGAAGACAGGAATTCAGACGACGACGATAGTCCGAGACCTACACTCTCAACACGCCAAACTTCGGATGGTGAAACAATGTGGGTGTTCGACACACCAGAGCAGCGTTTACAGCGTCGCGAAGAGGAGAGACTGCAACGCAGGCGAGCGTTCCGTGTGTTGAATGACTATTACATTGAGAACGTGGATTCGTCTCCAGTGACAACATCATCGCAAGCCTCGGAAAAAGAACGAAATACATCTTCAAACAAGGTTTTTCATCAGGATCCGAAGGGAGTTCCGCTGTTGTCTGCAAGCAACAAGACTAACGCACCACGAGACGAAGAGGTGGTAGTGGAAATACCGGGTAGGACGGACGATGTAGACGGTGATAACCTTGACGGTTTAGTATCAGCTCAAGTAGACGATGATTATAGCGATGGCGTTGGTGACAGCGATTTGGAACGTGGTAGTAACTCTGCGTCCACTGGGCATCATGCTTATACTGTGACTGAAAAGCCAAAGAGCCTCCTGCGACGAGTGTCCGCATCGGCGACCGCATTCGCTGCGTGGTGTTTAGACTACGATCCGAAAGTCAAGTACTAAAAAAGCGTCGACAGCGTCAATGGAGACAAAAATCCCAGCGAAAGTCTGCTTGGCGAAGATCGAAGCAACCGGCGGCGATATCTTCTCGAGATAACAATAACCGAGCGATACATTTGTCGACACCATCGTGGACGTAGAACTAAGTGAGAACGCTCTTCTCGCCAGTAACTCTTCTTTTTTCCCTCTGTGAAAATACACCAACGTTGGCAAGTTGAAGTTGCCAGGAGTGATGATCTTGCAGACTTCATCCCTGACGCTGCGACGCACCTTTGCTTCTCTGTTGGGAATCACTACTTGGGATGAACTTGCATGCTGACTCTGATCAGAACGAGTGACGTGAGCGCCGCCCTACACGTAGTTGAGCGCTCAGCAATCTACTGGTTGGCTCTTGATATGGTGGTATATTATACCACCGCCAGTAAGCAATCTAGAGATTGGTATCTTCTAGAGAGTCCAAGGAATCTTTAGCCATGGAGTCGATCGCCAGCGCTGTGGCCAGACCAGACCCATGCAGTCAGTTGCAGCAGCAGTCTCTACGGCCGAAAAGTGTCCGTTGTCAAAGTGCACTTCAACGCCTTGACATCTCCGGACTTATTTTCAGCCGCGTCCGAATTCATGTCTTCACTATCATCCAATTATCACAAGTATATTAAATAATACAGGCAATTTAACCGGAAACCTGCACTTTCCACATGGTTTTTCCAAGGGTATCACGAATCATATTACGACGTCACCTCTCATTTGTAATGATGCCATTCGGTGCAAAAAGCGCACAGTCCATCACCTTTTTTTTTTCGGTGACGTCCCATTTCGCTGAGCGTCTCAAAAAAAAAAAATGGACAGTACCCAAAAATTATCCTCTCCTTTCCGCATGTCACTCTAATAACAACCTCCAAGGCGGAATGACCGAGGCTGACCTCCTGGTGCACGTGCGCCAGCGGCTCGACGCGCTCACGTACGACGATCACTCGCAGTACCTACTAAGCTCTTTGCCCGTCGTGTCCGCTTTCCAGCCTCCCGACGCCGTACAGACTAATCGACGGCGACCAACACTCTTAGGTTCATGGCTTCGATACGCAGGACTCACGGGTTTCTACGTGCGTTTGGTGCTGCTTCTGGGTACAGGCTGGCTATTGGCCATGGTGGGCATATTCACCTTTTTGTACGCGCTTCCAGCGGCGCAAGAGGACATTGTACTAACCAGTACCGCACAAGTAATATTACTATTGGGAATATACTTCTTAGGGGGAGCTCTAGGCTCTCTCGCCTTTGGCGTCTGTGCCGACCACTTCGGACGGAGACCGGTGCTCTTAAGTGCGTTAACTTTCTGGCTCATAGTCAACGCTTTAACGTCGGGAGCGTGGAATTATGGGTCTTTTGTGGCGCTAAGACTGCTGGCAGGCGTGGGAATTGGCGGGCAATTGGCAATTTTGGCAACTTTGGCACTGGAATATACGCCAACCAGGACACGAGGGAGGATTACAGTATTATCAGTCTCAATAGCGGGGCTGGGAGTGTTTGCTGGGGTCGGATATGGCCAATTGGCAAGCACCGATAAAGGCATCGGCTGGAGAATCACGTACGGAGTGTTGAGTGGCATTGCGCTATTATTTCTTGCAGTATTATACTTGGCTTTGGAAGAATCACCCAAATATTTAGCAAGTGTCGGGCGATCAGAGGAAGCTTTGTACATTTTGGAGAAGATTGAGAATGCGCATGGCATCAGTCGACAAGCCAGAGTGACGGTGCCTACGAGTTTGTATGAACCTCCGTCTCAAAGACCGCAGATTAGTTATGAACGGTATCTGGAAAGTTCAGATTCAGATTCTGATTTGGATTTAGAATTACAAAGACTACAGGACGAAGAGATGGCGCGTTCAGCCGCTAGAAATGCCAGGTATAAGTACACAGGACCTGGAGCTGCCAAAGCTCGCAGTCAGAGTCAACGTGTGTCTGCCAGGAGGTTACAGAGCCAACAGATTGAGGTGTGTACCCCCAGCTCTGGAGACCCTGGAACTCCATCGTATACGCTGGCTCCTCATGCCGATTTGTCGTTTATAAGAGCGCTATCCCGTCGTGTAGTGGTGCTCTTTTCCAGATCTATGGCTCGACGCACAGTTCTCATTTGGTTCTTCTGGTTTGCCGAGCTCACGTGCTTTAGTGCTGCTATTGTGACGATGTTAATGATGGCGGGCACGTTTATTAAAGTGAACGCGATTGGGACGGGATTCGGAGTGAAAGACCAACTTTTCTGGTCTGTTATGACCTTTCCAGGCCTCGTCTTCACGGCTACAATCATTGAGACTGCAGGTCGGCGAGTGACGCTAGCGTTTTTTGTGTTTCTTGGCGGAATTGTGATGTTAACGTCTGCCTGGCTGTTAGAGGAACATGGCGAGTGGATTGGTTTATCATTATCGCTTGGAGCGATGGTATTGGCTACAGGAGGTACCTTGGGCGCGTTGATTCCCTTTACTGGAGAGCAGTTCCCTCTTCTAACTCGAGCGCTAGGGATCTCGTGTGCGTCTGCTTGGGGTCATCTTGGCATGTTCGCGGGAGTTTATCTGGTTCTTCGACGAGTAATGGGGGATGAGGCGTGGTCATGGCACGACGAACGTTTGATGCTAGCAGGATGTGGTGGTGTGGCTATTGTACTACTTCCTATTATACTGTTCATGGGACCAGAGACTCGTGGACGAGATATCGATGCCTCATGGTTCGAAGACAACAAAGGACTACACACTCGTGCTGGTGGAGTGCTCGCAGCAACTCCAGGTGACAATCGAGGTAGTAAAGGCGATAAAGTATCAGAAGAAGTACCACAATCTCCGTTCGGTAGCAAAAAACTTCGTGATGGGAATGTGAATCCAGAACGATGCGATACTCTGCCCATCGATGAGCTGGAAATGATGCACGAGTACGTCCAGCATCGCCGCTCAAGCGAGGAGAAGCGTCGATCTGTACTGGAGATACTGGAGCCTGTGCTTTTAGACTGGCGTCGGTCTCTTTCCAGTTCGTTTTCGAGCTCAGCACGGGGTCTTAGCAGCAGTAGCAAGGCCAGTAAACAAGAACACAATGCTACGGATGTAAAAACTGACATACGTTCGAGCGAAAACGGACGCTACACTATCGATCTCGACATGTTCGACACGTTCACGTACATTTCCACGCCCGTGCTGGGAGGCGACAACTCGGACCACGAACACCGTGAACCTAGCAATTTATCATCACCAGATGAAGCACAATAGTTGATCTATTGCCACGGAAGCGTAGACCGCTATTTGCTGTATATATTGAACATTTTTGTAAATGTCATTAAGTTACGATAATCTATTGTAAGTTTTGGTCACTCGATCTAACGACTTTTCCCCAGGATGAGTAGATTAGCATCGTTGCTGTGGTCCTTGCTCTTCCTAGTGTATATTGCAGCTGCAGACCCGTGGCTCAATGCGCCGCCAGCGTTTTTCCAGCTTCGTTGGCCGAGTGCAAGTCTCCTTCAGGTTTCAGTGGCTGAACCTGCACTTGTTGCTGGTACAAAGTCCTTCTTTACGACCGATTCAGTCACGGTGTTGGATGTTCGCAATGCAACTATCATCGACAGTGGCAGCAAAGCAACGTACGAGATGCTCTTCTTGATCGGAGACCCTATACAAGCCTTCGGTACGACTGTAACTTCTGCACCTCTCGACACTACGGGACTTGCAACTGCATTGAGTAAACGTCTGGAAACTATGGTTTCTGATACTGGAGCCAAGAACGCAACAGATTTGCTGTGGCAGGTCATCACTGCGTTCCAAAGCAGCGCTGTAACATGTCAATGTCTCAATAATGCTGATGTTCTGTCACTTTACGAATCGGCTCCTAACTTCCCAGCCATTCGAACGACTGTACCACCTACAACCGCATTCTTATCATTCAGTGTTCTCTTTCGGAATATCAACGACCCAGTTAAGTTACCACAAAGCGTGGTGTTTCAAGTTCGACGAGGAGTGGCAGAGTTCTTAGGCAGAGACTTTAACGTGTCGTACGTAACATCCAGTGGTCCAGCCACGGCTGCAATGGACTCGACATTACAAGTGAACCAAACTTTCTATCTACGTCTTCCTACAACTACAGATACTTCGATGCAAGGACGTGAAACTCTCGCGAATCGATTGTTGTATGGAGACCTTACCCGTCTTGTGATTGACAGCTCTGGTTCAAGACCAGCTATGTTCCTGGACTTCGTTTTCGCTTCTGATGAGCTGTCCAATGCTCTAAATTCTCAAGCTTTAGCGGGGTCTCTAACGTTCGCATCGACGCTTATCCAGTATGCGTTTCGATACATGAACGTCGATGTTTTCCCTGTTGGGAACCCAGCACTTTCGGAGCCTGTAGCTGATACCGCGACGTTGTTGGCTGCGGTCTCAGCAGACGCGATGAATGCGCGTCGACGCAAGAAACAGCGTTTCCAGTACCACCCTGAAGGATACACTGCTGCATTACCGAAGGAGGTGAGTTATCCGTCGACTGCCAACCTTAGTATGGACCTCACTGGGGTCTTCACCACTACAGTTTACTGGGCGAACACATTGAGTCAAGAATTCTGGCTTGAGAGTGCAGAGTCTACAGCTCCAGTTTCGTGGAACCTCTTCCCTTCCACTTCGTTTTTCACTGATGATTCCACAATTTCTGCTGTTCTACCTGCTCCGATCGTGAAGTTAGGCAACACATCAACTCCGCTTTGGACGATTCAAGCTGCAGTTCCAGAGAATTTAGACATGGCACTTAACTTTCGAAGTACGGATGATAATGCTACACTTGTGAAAGTTGAGGTAGCTGTCACTCTACACTCGTCAGGAGATGCTGAGTCTACAGTCACAAGCATAGCTCGACCAGCTAACAACTCAAGCAACTCCACGTCTTCATTGAATGTCGTGGTTCGTCATCAAAGCCGCTTGTTGCGCAACGGAGCTACAGATAAAGTGAGCAAACTGCTGCTTCATCTCGAGTTTGGCACTGCAAAAGTCACGGAGAAAAGCGCCGATGGATGTGCACATTGTCAGCAACTCCTGGACTGGTGTACGAACGAATCAGGGTGTGCACCTCTGAAAACTTGCGTGTTGTCAGCTATCCAAAATCCGATCACTCAACTGGTTTCTAAGTCCTCAAGTGCCACTGAAACGGAAGATCTTTCTTCTCTGGTTAACGGATGTCTAACTGGCACTGCAACATCTCCAGTAGATGTGAATTATCTCATGTTATTCACAAGTGCAATGCGGTGTCAATTACGACGATTGTGCCCTCTATCAACGAGTTCTAGTGTCGTGATTCCTTCGGATACTAAACTTATATGGGCAAGCGGTAAAGGACAGCAGCGTATACAGCCAACTGTTTCGAACTTCCCCTTATCTACTAATTTACCGCTGAATATCTCTCTAGCCATCGGAAATCGCGTGATCTGCTATATACCCGTTTGGAATAACGCTACTGCTGCATCGTTAGAGACAAAAATTGCACGATCCTGTACGTTTGCCAAGTATTTAGGAGCCGTCAAAGCCAACGTGACTTCGAATACTGCAGGGGCTACAGCTATTGACATTTTCTACGACGGACTCGTAGGTCCACTCCCCATTTTATCATTTGTCAATGATGCCACTCAACCGATCAACGCTACATTCACTACTGTTGCAACCCCGAGCTTACGTGTTCGATACGTATCTCGCGCTCCGATCCCGTTCGCAGCCACTACGGACCCAATACCGACTGAAATCTGTGTTGAGTGCAAGAGATTGGCACTGGATGTTTGTCTTCGAGATGCAAAATGTGCAGCCATGGCTGATTGTGTCATGCAGTATCACGGTAGTAGCACTGCTACCATCACAGTTGCCACGGATTCTTCCACTTCGTCGAATTCCCTTGCAGATGTGATTTTGAAAATGGTACGAGGTGACCAGGTAGGGACTAGATTATCACTGGAAGCTGGCGTGAATTCGTGCCTTCCAGCAGCGATTAATGACGGCGTATCAAGTGTGGATGTCAGCGATCTATCGTGGCGAAAACTCGTGAATGCTAGTGCCTGCTACAGTCGCAATGCTTGTCCATTGATACTAGCTCCTATCCTGTCTTCGTGGTCGTCATTGGCTACTAACTACGTGACAGTCGGCAAATGGAGCATTTCGCCCGTGCAAAAACTGCAAAAGTTGATCTACACCGGTTCAACGTCAAGTCTTACGGATTTAAGGATTCCATTGTCAATTATCCGTGATGGTACTGCTGTCACACTAACGAGTGCTGCAGATGCGGATTCCTTGGCAATTTCTCTTCGTGGACTCATTCAGTATGAAGATATCCAAGTGACATATGATAGTTCGACAGCCGTCACATGGACGATTTTGTATGGGCATTGGATTGGATCGTTACCCATTTTTATATCGACTGATAATAAGGAGTGGACACTTGTGGGATATCCGACCATTGTGAATGGTGCTGCTGTACCAAGCGACAGCATTTTAGAGCTGATCCCTCGCCATTCAGCTGGCGCTACCAGTGCCACAGCAACGAGCGCCACAGCGACCCAGTAAAACTAACAGAAACATTAACAAAATAAAAAAGTGATCTTAATTTTGGTTATTATTCTTTTGCCGATTTAGACCCTTTTAGTACAAGGTTTTGCACAATTGGTGCCATTTAGGCAGCGGCTTCCACTTTATTCAGACGTACAGCCTCTGCGAATTCGGCGATGGGGTTCACCGTCCACATATTTGATAGGCTTTTGCTTCCCTTTTTGCCATTTTCATTGTCTTCAGCCTTGAGGGAGCTCTCGTAGAAAGCCAAATGACCACCCGACTTAGTCGTGCAAAGAATAATATTCGGGTTGGCTTCGACCTCGTCGTCCTTGGGTAGAGCGGAGCTGATACTGATAGGGTCGTCCTCGGCATTAATGCAGAGCAACGGCACTCTCACTCCACTCAGCTTCTTCACAGACCCCGCGTCGTTGTAGTAGTCGTCCACTGTGTCATAGTGGAAAACATACTTGGTAAGTGTGTCGTCAAAGTCTCGCACAGTGCGAGTGGCCTTAATAGCCTCCAAATCCACGCCTGGATAATTCTCAAACTGCTTCGCTGCATCGCACTAAAAAACACAAAAAAACAGTTATCAAGTGTTTAAACCAAAAAAAAAATCAAATGTAAGTACCTTGTTGAAGAAGAGCTCGCGAAGGTTGTTGTTGAGTGCCTTATCATACGTCATGCGGTTGAACAGTGAACCACCGAAGTTGGCCGAGCAGATAGTCAAGTCGAAAGGGTTTCCAACCGAAATTGCACCTGTCAACGGCGTTTGGTCTCCATCTTCGCCCAAATATTTGACTAGCACATTGGATCCCATCGAAAAACCAACTCCGACGAATGCTTCTTGTGTGAAATGGTATTTTTCACTCAATTGTTGCAACACGTAGCGGAGATCACCAGTGTACGCGCTGCAAAAGAGTTGGGCTGTGGTCACAGGCGTGTTAGCGCATCCTCTTGCGTTCAGCACCACACACTGCCAACCCAACTCATGCAACCTCGCAATGGTACTGCGAATATAATTCTCCGGACTACCGCCAGTGAGTCCCGGCAACAGGATCACTGTACGTCGCGTGGGCTCCACATCCGGCAGCCATGAAGATGAACCGGATGAATTGAGATCCGTCACCTGATTGGGTACATTTTGGTCATGCAAAAGTGCCCAATCCAATGACACAACGCCGCCGTCGGGTAACTTCATCAACTGGCGTTTGTAGTTGATATTGGGTCCACGTTCATCGTAGGCAAAGCGCACAGTCTGGAGGTGTCCGTTAAATAGGCGCCATGGTGGATAATATTTGCTTTTCGCTGGAAGATAGAATTAAAAGAAAAAATGGGAACATGCAACACGGTTAGATAAAATGGGTAAAAGTGGTGATATCTAAATGCAAATACACGCACTGATGGTAGGACAGTGTGACAGAAGCTTCTTGTTGCCGTCCGTGGCTCGGTACACCAATCGTGGCGTCTCGGCAGAGCGCAAACGCATGAGGAACGAGAGGATGGAGCGTCCGAGAGCTTTGCGGCCGAGAAACACAATCACCAGCGCCAGGGCGAGTCGTGAGCGGCGCTGCAGGAAGTGCGTATTGGTGTTCCCCATGACAATTTGCTTGTGCGGTTCGAAATGCTCTGACAGTCTCTGATTCTGAGTTACACTGGTAGGTTGAGCGCGACAACCTACCCACGGTCTTTTATATTATGTGTGTATCCGTACACGAAATGAAAATCATTATTTGTGTACCCAACACTAAGTTGTAAGTTGAAGGGTGTGAGTGCGTGTCATGCAGGTTAATTCGACCAGCATGACACGCACTCACAATTGAGTGACGAGCGCTGTCTTGCCGCATCTGGCTGTATCAGCCCCTTTCAGCTGGCTATGGAACGGGAAGCAACGTGCTGGCGTCTTCCGGGCGGTGAAGCATGTGAATCATGCTTCGAAACGGCACAACTTGAAGCTGTCAGGCCTGGCAAACACTACGCAGAGCTTACGGGCAGTCTGTTTTCCGTGTTGTTTGAACTCGGCTGGTCAACTCCCCGGCGATATCGGCAGCGAGACACAGACGGTTTGACCAGTGACGGCCCCACTGTGGACTCCACCTGGTTTTGCCGCTGGGTGCGCGTTACGTTGGAGACCAGCGAAGTTGCAGTTTAGCATCGACTGGAACGCCGTGGACGACTACAGGAAGCCACACTGCCTTAACACGAAAGCCGGGGTTGGTGACACCCCGAATGTTTGAAATTCAAGCAAATTTTGAATGTTTCGATGCGATTAACGAGCTGTACGACGCCGCGAAGGTCAGGCCCCATCTTGAGGAAGCTCGGGCACTTCCTCCAGCTCGGCTCGCGGCCAAACATCCACGTCCTTTCAAGTCGTGAGGAACGCGGCGCTGCTGCCAACGTGCCGACAAGTGGCCAGTGTTACTTACCAGCTCCTGCCCACTCCTTCATCAGACCATTGCAGCTGGGATCAGAGCAGGCCAAAGGATGCAACATGGCAAACAGTGAGTGATAACTTTTTCTTACGACGATGCAAGGGTGGATATTCCGCCCGCCTTGATTTCAGGGCGACAACGAGCTGTTCTAATGACCATTTTCGTGTCGAGACGCGTATCTTTGCTATCACTTCGACAATCGATGAGTGCTACGGGCGTCGCGTCGCTGGCCTTTCACTTGACTTCAGTATGCGGGGGTGAAGACGCCTTTCAACTTCAGGGCTGTCCAAAGGCACTCTATGCAAAAGACCCGACTCGATATTGAAGTGCTCAAACTGAATGCCTTTGCGCGTCTGTGATTGGTCGGCTAAAATACGGTGGGCCAGCTAAATTCGCTGATTGGTCGAGCCTCGACAAGCACATCCCCTTTCATCGCCACACGGTGAAGTCCAGACCAGTCGTCGAGTCGTCAGCTCGTTTCCCTCCGCGTGGTTGTGGGTGGGGCCCTACCGTCCTCGCAGCGCTTCACATTCCAAAGTCCCCACCGCCGATTACACTTCCGCTTGGAGCCGAGTGCGCGCGCGTGCGTGTCTTACTTGAGCCACTAACGTCAGCAGCAATGGCAACAACACACAGCAGCAAACAGAGCAGCAAATATGGGTACACGCTAAATTTCGACTGGAAGCACCCGTGGCCGCGTGCCCCGACGCCCAAGAATGAGGAGGCTCGTCTCGAGGAATTGGCTCGGTACCGCATCCTGGACTCGGAGCCCGACGAGAAGTTCGACAAGCTCTGCCGCATCGCGTGCAAGGAGATGAAGTGCCCCATCGCGGCCGTGAGCTTCATCGACAAGCAGAAGCAGTGGTTCAAGGCCAACAGCGGCCTCACACAGCGCCAGATCCCGCGCGACGTGGCTCTCTGTGCGCATACGATCATGCACGCCAAGCGCGCGCTCGTGGTGGAGGACACGTCGCTGGACGAGCGCTTCCAGCACAACCCGCTGGTCACGCGCGCCTCGGCCGTGCGCTTCTACGCCGGCGTGCCCATTACCACGCCCAACGGGTTTTGCATCGGCTCAGTGTTCGTGTTTGATGTCAAGAGCCACCACAACGTGGACGCCAAGATCCTGCACAAAATTGCCGCCAAGGTGCTCAAATATATGGACGAGAGACTCAAAAACATGGCAGCAGCCAATGGTGGCGCGTTGCCGGAGCCTGCACCGACGTCTCGGTCCAATTCCACACCACCCAAGCGGAAAACGGTGTCCCCCCCTACATCACAGGGTAGTACAGAACAACCCGCGGGGGAGACTGCACTCAGGGAACAACTACCGCCGGCTCCGGTCAAGCCCGAGCCGGTGGCCGAGCCCACGCCCAGCACGGAAGCCACAGCCGCCGAGAGTGGCGCTATCGTCCAGGCAGCACAAGCGGCAGCAGCAACTAGTACCGCCATTGAGGCCCAGGGACAGGGACAGGGAGGACTGGGCAACATGGGCTCCATGCTCATGAACCTACTGGCGCGCACGACAGAGACGCAGCAGCAGCTCGCGGCACAGCAGGGAGTCATGTTCGAGACGCTGGGCGAGCACTCGAACCAGTTGGACTCGCTGGGCCAGTCCATGAGCAACCTGGAGAAGCGCTTCGAGCAGGTGCGACTCAAGAAGGAGCAGCAGCAGCGGAATGCGGCGAACGCAAGTCGCAGACCCAAGCGCGTGTAATCAACTTTTTTGACTCGAGAGACAAGTGAATGAAGCTGCTCGATTAGTCATGGCTCGGAGCTGAGCGAGGGGGGCGAAGCATGCAACTTGCATGGACCGTAAAAGTATCTATACGCCTCCCCGTCCAGTCGCGAAAGTCAGGAAGGCCACTAGTCAACGTGTTGCATTACAAAATATATGTGCTGTGGCATTTTAGTACTCCAAACTCTATGTTGCATGAATGAATGCGTGTTGGTACAAAGATATATTAGATATATTTGGTTCACATTTTTTTTTTCTAACTGAAAACTTGACGTTGCCTTCAACTTGCCACACAGTTTTTTTTTTTAGTGTTTCCATCATTCAGCCAGTCGACAGTGTTTGTTACAGCTCGATTATTGTCGGTATTTTGTTGCATGGCGTCGCCCCAGTTGTTACATGCTGCGATTGCCAACGATGTCGTGCGAGAAGCACCGTACACCCTGTTGTGCATGGTTGTGGCTGTGGAGAAGGCGAATTCCAGTGCAGCCGAGACAATAGGTGATTTATTGGAGATCTACTTGAGTGAAAGTAATGTTACTCCATTGGAGCGTGTAATGCAGGCTGCAGACGAGTATAGTTTACAGAAGAACGCCACGAGAGGTAGAATTAAGCTGAAACGAGAGCGAAAAGCTCAAGATGACGAAGAAGTGTCAATCTCTCGAGCGAGTTTTGTTCAAGTTCAGGCAGATCTTAAGCGGCTACTTTATTCAACGTCACAGATTGAGACTCAAAAGAGACTGGAAGAACAATTGGAGAAGCTGAAACTCGCACAGATCCGTGAATTCACTGGGGTTTTACTGCCCAAGCACTTGCAGATCACGCCGATCGAAGAGGATCCACTCGAGTTCCGTCGCGACATACATGGCGTTGCTCAAATGAGGGGTACGTTTGTCTTGTAGGGTTACGTTCGGAATGCCATGTCAAGCTAAGGGGAATTCTGCAGGACGAAATGTACTTGGAGAACACTACGCTCCGAAGACCGACCCACTCCGCTTTCTCCGTACTCACACAGTGACTGACCTTTTCAAGCACATGAAGCGTGTAGTGCGCGGGGACTTGAGCACGCGTAATAAGAGACGCATCGCTGCTTTGAATGCTAAAGAGAAAGAACGCAAGAAAGAGCTGGAAAGACAAGGGATATTGTCACCAGAGCAACAGCTCGAGGCAAAGTTTGATCAACTGCTCAACGCAAGTGTAGCGTAGGTGCTACCATGGATTGTTGTAGATTCATGGCAACTAGTGTACTGGGGGTATTCATTTTACCCGGTTGCTGACCCAAGTTCACCTACAGCAAAATTAAAATCGAGACCAATGCACCTGACACTACACAGCTCGGCGTTGTGTGTATGAGAGGCTAGCACTTTTTTGTAGTTACATGTAGCGCAATGTTGCTCACTGCAACGAGTTCATTCCAAGGCAGAGAAAGTAAACCGAAATCTATAGCAACATTTTACTACAAATGTCGTTGTAGAAGCGTTCCCCTTGAAGTCGCACTGGCGACTTGATACAGTGGGTGGATAGCACTATTCTCCAGTGGCTTGGGACGTTAGCAACTGGCAAACAGAACATCCTGAGTTTTGGGTTCTTCGCATTGTTGTAGGTGGTATTATTTGACAGGCAATGAAAGCAGATTTTTTCTATCGCAATCAAAAATGTGATACATAATGTCAAAGATCACTGAAACTGGCGGTATTTTACAAATGAGAGAACTATATGTAGTCGAGAATCTCCCTCATGATAAAATGTTGTAACTTGTCCAGTCCAAGTTTCAGCTGGTAACTCGCTTATTCATTCTTTTGAATTCTGCCTTTTATGTCGACTAAAGTGTAGTGTCGAGCATATCGTTACGCATTGCTACATTGAGCTAATTTGGAGGAATTGCTCGACGATAGCCCTGGGCAATAATTATGCTTCGCTTCCAGAGTAATATGTTACACGGGTAACTCCGCATCTACTGCGTAAGAGTTGCTGCGTTTTACCTCTGTGAGCTCTTGTGTACTCATTTTGTTTTCAGAAATACCCTCGTACACGGGCTGCAAGAATACTATGTAAGCATTAATCCTTGACAGATCTATGCCGATGTCCGAGTATTTAAGGATTCACGTTGACACCACAAGAGTATTACCTAATGTCAAGGGAGGAAAACACTCTCGATCTTCGGATTGATTAATGGCTTCAACTTGTATCAAGATGCAGCTAGATGGTAAAGATAATGAATGGCCGCTGTACGAATCGTGTACTTCAGTCTTGACGCCGTGGCCAGCTTGGCCAGCACATCCGTTGCTGTCGTGACCGCTGCCGACCCGTGTCTGTCAGCTCACCGGTGGCTTACCATCCCCAACCACCCCAGCCACCGCAGCCACCCCACGGGCCTCCCCATCCGAATCCGCCGCCCCACCATTCTTTCTTCTTCTTGTCATCGGCGTCGACGTTGGCGTTGGCGTGTTCCTTTTCGGCAGCGTCAGCCGGCGGATTGGCAACAGCGAGTTGCGCGTTATGCTCATCAACAGCAGCAGGTTCAGCCACGGCGAGTGCTCTGAGAGCAGGCTGGTAGTCGTTGGCGGATGCGACGCCCGTGACAGCGACAAATGTGGTGACGGCGAGAGTAGAGAACTTCATGACGATCAATTGGCGGTCGACGGTCTGGCTGGTACTTGCTGATTCGTTGGTGCGGATGAAGGCAAGTTGGTTTGTGAGACTCGGGCAGCGGCCGGCGATGGTGGTGTCTCGTTTCATCAAGAAAGCAACAGTCTCCGGTTTTTCTGGTTGTTGGTGTGGATATGAGTGCCGACATTTCCGCGCTGGTCTGGATTGATGATGATGGATGTAGTAGTAAGTTTTGTGGTGGTCCCTGCTAGACGGTGGCTACGATGAGTACTTGTAGTCAGATGGAGATGGCCATCATTTGGTCAAACGTTTTCCGCTCTATTCGAGCTATGCTGTTACCCGTTAAGAGAACTCTCGTGTGTTTCTTGAGTTATAATTTTTATAACAATTGGCTAGTATTTGCTTCAATAAGGAGTTGTTGATTTTGACTTCCGTTGCAATTGACACGGCCTTCTTAAGCCGTCGTATTACCTAATCACGGCAAACACTGTCCTCTTCGCCCGGAGGATATCTTCCCTTCACCGTTCAATTCAGAAAATGCGTCTTGAAATGGACACTACATGTAAATGAGGTTTGATAAGAGACCGATTTGCGCATTCGTCACCACCCAGCCTTTCGGATAATCGGATTTATTAATAAAAGCTGGTACTTCAATACTTTTTGTGTTAAGCAATCCGCTCAATTCAAATGTAGTCACTTTGTTGTTGAAACGAGTGGAAGCGATGCCATGGTATCTCCAAAGACTATTTGAGATCATTGTTGGTCAAAGGGTTATTGGATCTATTGACACGGATGAAGTGACACCATTACTACTGCCACCTTGTTTAGAAATTCAAAACTTTTATTAGAACAGCGTAATGCTGCTCGTTCTGGTCAAGTCGGGCGATACACTCTAAAACGAGGTCCGTATATTGGCCAAGGTTTCTAGCATGTACTTCGATTTACGCTTTGTTTTGATTTTCAATGGATCCAGCCTATCACTTGAACATGATATACACTGTCCTCTTCACCTGGAGGATTTTTTTCGTTCTCGTTTCAACTCAGAAAACGCGTCTATGAGTGGATACCAGAGGTCATTAATGAATGACAAGGGATCCATTTTGCTCATGCTCACACCCCCAGCCTTTCAGATAAACTGATTTTAAGGCAGTCCTCCCTTTTTCAAGCTAAGTTACGAAGCCTGCACCCTTGTGTTAAGCAAATCCGCACAAACAGAAAAATGTAAAAATCATTAAACTGTAATTTTCTGTTAAGCATTTGTTGTGTGAGGTACAACATATTCGAGCGTGCGGGAAACGTTTGACCAAATGATGGCCATCTCCATCTGACTACAAGTACTCATCGTAGCCACCGTCTAGCAGGGACCACCACAAAACTTACTACTACATCCATCATCATCAATCCAGACCAGCGCGGAAATGTCGGCACTCATATCCACACCAACAACCAGAAAAACCGGAGACTGTTGCTTTCTTGATGAAACGAGACACCACCATCGCCGGCCGCTGCCCGAGTCTCACAAACCAACTTGCCTTCATCCGCACCAACGAATCAGCAAGTACCAGCCAGACCGTCGACCGCCAATTGATCGTCATGAAGTTCTCTACTCTCGCCGTCACCACATTTGTCGCTGTCACGGGCGTCGCATCCGCCAACGACTACCAGCCTGCTCTCAGAGCACTCGCCGTGGCTGAACCTGCTGCTGTTGATGAGCATAACGCGCAACTCGCTGTTGCCAATCCGCCGGCTGACGCTGCCGAAAAGGAACACGCCAACGCCAACGTCGACGCCGATGACAAGAAGAAGAAAGAATGGTGGGGCGGCGGATTCGGATGGGGAGGCCCGTGGGGTGGCTGCGGTGGCTGGGGTGGTTGGGGATGGTAAGCCACCGGTGAGCTGACAGACACGGGTCGGCAGCGGTCACGACAGCAACGGATGTGCTGGCCAAGCTGGCCACGGCGTCAAGACTGAAGTACACGATTCGTACAGCGGTCATTCATTATCTTTACCATCTAGCTGCATCTTGATACAAGTTGAAGCCATTAATCAATCCGAAGATCGAGAGTGTTTTCCTCCCTTGACATTAGGTAATACTCTTGTGGTGTCAACGTGAATCCTTAAATACTCGGACATCGGCATAGATCTGTCAAGGATTAATGCTTACATAGTATTCTTGCAGCCCGTGTACGAGGGTATTTCTGAAAACAAAATGAGTACACAAGAGCTCACAGAGGTAAAACGCAGCAACTCTTACGCAGTAGATGCGGAGTTACCCGTGTAACAGCAATGCGTAACGATATGCTCGACACTACACTTTAGTCGACATAAAGCAGAATTAAAAAAAAATGAAAAAGCGAGTTACCAGCTGAAACTTGGACTGGACAAGTTTCAGCATTTTGCAAGATGAGAGAGAATGTCTACTGAAATCTGTTTTAGCTAATGATAACACCGTACCTAGTCGCCAGTGCGGCTTCAATGGAAACATTTCTACAATGATAATAAACTGGTTCAAGTGTTGCTATAGAGTGCTAGAATCAGGTAAATTTCGGTTTACTTTGGAAGGAACTCGTTGCAAAGAGCTTTATAGCAGTACATGTAAAAAGTGTTAAACACTCATACAGACAACACCGAGCCGTGTATTGTCAGATGACTTGGTGTCGCTAATCACTTTTTAATCCAACAAGCGATAATTCCATCAGTGTCGTCATCCAAAAAAAAAAAAAACGTAGTGTCCGTCCCATCCACACCCGTGATTAGGAAACTCGCAGACTGAACACAGTGGTGCTCGATGCAACTCGACCGCACCGTCGGCGCCGCTCTGACAAACATGCCAACTTGATACCACCACCCCTGGCATTTAGATCATTGGAATACAGAGCTGAGCGGTAACGTACCCCTTGGCACTTTTACCACTCCCGTGTTTTCGCGTTACTTTCTTAAAACTGTACGTACAATCGCCAGTGCTTCACACTCTAGCTTGGCACTTATTTGGGGGCTTGTCACGCTCGCATCTTGCCCAACATAGTTTGGACTCTTGTCATGAGCGTCACTTGAATTGTCATAGATCGGCCAGTGTGTGTGTATACAATTTGTCCTTTAACGTTGAAGGCACTGTAGTACCTCAGTTGAGTGCCCTCCGCGATGTCTTCAACACACAAATATGTGTCGTACACAATGTCATTTTGGTTGGCCAGTAACCCGCGCTGGTAACCAGCCAATCAACGCGTTTCCTCCCAACATCCCCTCATTTCAATTCTTTCAAAAACCACCATATGCGGTCTTTTCAAGCTACAATTTTCTAGTCAAACAAGGTTTACAAGCTCGCAGCCAACTATTCAAACTGCATTTCAAGCTGCGACCGCCCACCACCACCAGGTCTCACTTTCTGCTGACTGCTCTGCTTGGAACATCGTTTCGGGTGCGTTGCCGTACCAACTTTTGTCATTGGCTCTCCATGCCATGCTGACCTCCTCTTGTGTTGTAACTCTAGCATCTGAGCATCCAGGAGGGAATAATGCAGCTCTTTGTGGAGACCCTGTCGGGCTCCCCGCTCACGCTCAGCGTGGCGGCGGACGCCTCGGTGGCGTCGGTTAAGCAGGCCGTTGAGGACGTGGAGTACATCCAGAACTTCCGTCTGGTCTGCGCCGGCAAGAAGCTGACGAGCGGCTCGCTCGCTGACTACGCCGTCGGCGAGTGCGACACGCTCAAGATGCTGCTGTCTGTGAACGGTGGTATGCGTGCCAAGTGGCGCAAGAAACGTATGCGCCGCCTTCGCCGCAAGCGCCGAAAAATGCGCCAGCGCGCCAGATAAGCGTCGCGCCACAGACTGTCGGTGACTTGTAGTGTGGCTGGAGGAGATTTTCTACACTAGCGACACAACGTGACGGACAAGCTGTAGCAACGTGCTTTTTCCGGGTGGCCCGTGCACCAGATCAACAGCAGCAACAGCAGTTTTTTCTCGGACCCTTCCTCTGTATTCGCAAAACGACCACGTCGGGTTAAACTGAAATGGAAGCAAAGCGCATCCGGTTAGGATTGATGATGAGGAAAACAGATTTGTACTTGTGTCTATTTTTTATTATGTGGTGTTTTGGTGGCTAATGACGTAGGTCGTATATGCTACAAGAGTGGTCGTCTGGGTAGTAACTAGTACTCGTAAACGGATAATGTAGAGTGACGCATCGATACTGTGAGGTTGAATGAAACATGAAGACCATCACACCGGCAAACTTCAACATGTCATTCTGTCAGAGTGTCTTCGCAGCCTTGGACATGCAGGCTGCCGCTGGGTCGCCTTCGGTATCGTTGTCGATAACAAAGAGGTTAAGGTCTGACTCACTTGACTGGTAGGGCGCAGGCATCGAGTTCGCTCGTGTCAGCAAACGCTCTGACTGCGTCGACGATATCTCGATCATGGAACGACGTCGATCACGCGCGTAGAGCTTCTTGGCGTGCGTAGACACAGCTTTTAGACAGGACGACAGAGACGTGAAGCACGAGCTCAAAGCGAGCTCCACGCTTGTGCTTCGTCGACGCAGCTTGACGTGCTCGTCCCAGTCAACTTCATCGAGATATTCCGCCAGAATGGATGAACTCTTGTGAAGCTCGTGGTGCTCCTGGAAACCGAAAGCCAACGAGAGCTTAGGCGCCATGGTTTGAACGCGGCAAAACTGAAAGTGATCGTCTCATTCTAAGACCCGAGCTGCAAGAGCGCACCTCATTTTTAAGTGAGCACGGCCAATAGGAAGCTTGTAGAGCTCTCCTTCTCTTTACAGCACATGTACGGTGGATCGCTTACGGTTTCTGTCGCCAGCCTCCAATACGCGTCGTACAATTACTATAGAATAAGAAATAAATCAGTATTATAAAAAAAACAATTGCATTTGACGTGATGAAACAGCATCACTACGTTGACATGTTAGCGGAATAATACCAAGCTTTGTCGTTGTTTAAAACAACTGCGCTTAGAGCTGTCCACTGAAGTTGGCTGTGTCACCCGGGTTGATGGCCGTGCTCCACTTGCTGGTGATTTTACGTCTCGTGGAGAAGAACTCGACACAGCCATCCCCAGTAATGTCCATGTCTCCGAACTTGCTCTTCGTGCCGTACATTCCACCGAAGCTGAAAGGCTCACGTGGAACGGGGATACCGATGTTGATCCCAATCATACCAGCGCGGAAACGCGACTGGAAATACTCGGCATACGCTCCATTCGACGTGTAAATGGCCGCTGCGTTGCCATAATCGTTGCCATTCTCGATCTGCAGAGCCTCGTCGAACGAGTTCACGCGATACACTGACAGTACTGGACCAAAGATCTCGTCTTTCATCGCAGCGTCCTTCGGATTCGAGTGTAGCAACACAGTGGGGCCGACCCAGAAGCCCTGGGACTCTTTAGACCATGATCGACCATCCACCAACACCTTGACACCAGCAGCTTCGGCTTCGTTGATGTATTTGAGTACACGCGTCTTCGATCCTTCATCAATCAGGGCTCCAACCTGGCCAGCTTCGGTGCCTCGAGTCAATTCCTTCGACTTCTCGACGACCTTGTCAAGTAGAGATGAGCAATCTCCCACTAGAAGGAGAACCGATGCAGCCATGCAACGCTGTCCAGCACAGCCAGCATAGGACGCCAGAATATCCTTGGAAGCCACCTCGATATCGGCGTCTGGAAGAGCTACAAGATGGTTCTTCGCTCCACCCAGAGCAAGCACACGCTTGTCCAGTGCTCGGCATCGACGAGCTACTAGCTGAGCCACGCGACTGGATCCAACAAATGTGACAGCAGCAATACCGGGATGGTCACACAAACTGTTGACTGGATCCACGGTTCCGTTGATAATCTAAAAAAAAAGTTAGAGCTTTTAGATTAAAAAAATGTTTAGTAAGTGAATTTTACCTGGAAGACACCCTTGGGAACTCCTGCTTCGAGCAGCAACTCAGCAACACGTGACATTGTCAACGGAACCTGCATGCAAAAACATACTTAGTACTTTAAATATTAAAAAAGAATCTTGCTCTTATACCTTCTCGGATGGCTTCAGGATGACACAATTCCCCATGGTCAACGCAATAGGAATGGTCCACATGGGCACCATAATGGGGAAGTTGAATGGCACAATACACGCCACAACTCCCAGTGGATCGCGCACTTCTTGGCATGTGATGCCTCGTGACACTTGCAGGGTGCGTCCTTGCACTAATTGTGGGAGACTGCATGCGTACTCGACCGTCTCGTTGCCTTTCAAGACGCTGGCGAGCGCCTCTGTGCGGTTCTTACCGTTCTCCTTCACCACAATGTCTGCCAGTTCATCTATACAGCAAAAATTCCCTCTTAGATCCCTCTAACAAACCTCTAACAGCGATGTAACGCTGTCTAGTACCTTGGTGCTGCATCATGAGCGCGTGGAATTTGAGCATGATGGCTGCACGGGCCTTGACAGTCAGCTGACGCCACTCTTTGAAGGCTTCTTGGCCCTTGGCCACCGCCAGCTTCACGTCTTCATCAGTTGATAGCGCACATTTGCCGATCACCCGACCGGTCGACGGACTGATGACGTTGAGGTATTTGTCGCCCGACGGAGGCACAAACTCGCCGTTGATCAGGTTATGCGCCGTCAGAGGGCCCGACACTTTCTGCTTCTTGCTGGGAGACTCGGACATGGGGGATTCGGAGCTTCTCGATCAATTCGGTTTTGGTGAATGATAAGATCTGGTTTTTACTAACTTCAACTGGATAATAAGTGATGTGGGACACATAACAATGGCAAACAACGCGTAGGCGAGAATAGCTAAACTTGTCCGAATCTGATAGTTAAGGACTATCGGTCTTTGTTCACGAAGCCTAAACGTAGATTTATCAAATCTTAAAGAGGAAGTACCTAGAAAATAGCTAGCACATAGTTTGTTTTTGTGGGATCCGTTCATTACTGCAATTTTTCTTTTCAGCTTGACCCGGTTTTACCCTTACAGATTGTATCGCACCGCAAGCCGTTGAAGCCTACGAAGCAAACATTGACACTCAAAGATAATACACTCTGCGACACAATTGAACGTTTTGGTCCGTAACAACGTCAATATTTCGAGTTAGCAAGTGCTGTTTGGATATGTGCTTGCTGTGCTTAGCAACACTACGCGGTTTGTGCTAACGAGCGCAACTTCGCAACCTGCGAGGTACCTCCCATACAACTTTCTACTTTTACCTTCGCGACACATTAAATCGCTCGCTGTCTACATACAAAAGTCTAGTATAAAAGAATGTAGGTCTCATCTAAAATCGATGGCACAGAGCCACAATGCGAGAACTGAGCGAGCAGAGAATTCATTCTCCAAAAATGCCGCCCAAGGCCATGAAGAAGCCCCCCTCCAAGAAAAAACCGTCGTCGAAGAAGAAGCCCCAGCCAAGAAGAAGCCCCGCTTAACTGACAGAGAGCGGGGCAAGATTGAGGGGCTTCACGAGGCCGGTTTCAGCGGCCGGGCCATCGCCAAGAAGACGAGCCGCTGCGCGCAGACTGTGCGGCGCGTAGTGGCTTCGGGGCAGGCTCTCCGTGAAGTTCGTAGTGGCGCGAAGATTCCTGGTCGTGCTCCCGCCCTCTCTGAACGCGAGACTCGCCGCCTCGTCCGTGCTGCTGCCAAGGGGGAACTCTCTGCTGCCAAGATCAAGGAAGAGTTGGGCCTTCCTGTCACGGTACGCACCATTCAGCGCACCCTCGCTAGGGTAGACTGGTTGGTGTATACCAAAATGGTCAACACGCTGCCTCTGAAGGCCGAAGACATGCTGGCGCGCAAGGCTTGGGCGGGGGCCATGCTGCTACAGAAAGACGCCGGGGCTATCTGGGAGTCCATCATCTTCTCCTATGGGAAGAAGTGGAACCTGGACGGCCCCGACGGCTTCCAGTATTACTGGTGAGATGTCCGCTAGCCACCACGCTGCACTAAACGGCGTCAGGCTGGTGGCGGCTCGATTATGGTGTGGGCTGCTTTTAGCGCCCGTGGCAAGTATTCACTTGTCGTGCTGACGGGGAGGCAGAACTCAGACGATTACGTCCACACTGTGTCTGAGTATCTCCTCCCCTTTGCACACCTAAACTACGGCATAGATTTTATCTACCAACAAGATAACGCTAGTATCCATGTCTCTCATCGCTCGAAGGAGTTTTTTTTGAAGAGCAGGGCATAGCTGTTCTAGATTGGCCATCAAAATCGCCCGACCTCAATCCTATTGAAAACTTGTGGGCTTTTATAAGTAGGAAAGTCTATGGAAA